CACTTTTTGGTGACGGAGATCTGTTAGGAGAAGAACATTCGGTCATGATGGACGAGAGTCAGAGACGTTACAGCACGTCACTCCAGCAGAGAGAGTTCTGCAGGCGTCAGCTCGAACCGTGCACTGCATGGTTTAGTGAATGTCCCGCCAGGCTACTGTTGCGGAAGGGTCTGCTCTGTGCGCTGCTCATGGCAGTTCTGCCGCCCTGAAGGCGAGGGGCAAAGGGATGGGGATGGGGCGGGGAGATGGGTGAGAGGGGAGGGGGAAGGGAAGGGGATGGGGTGGGAAGATGGGTGAGAGGGGAGGGGGAAAGGGATGGGGATGGGGCAGGGAGATGGGTGAGAGGGGAGGGGGGAAGGGATGGTGATGGGGTGGGGAGATGGGTGAGAGGGGAGGGGGGAGGGGAAGGGGATGGGGCGGGGAGATGGGTGAGAGGGGAGGGGGAAAGGGATGGGGATGGGACGAGACGTGGAGAGAGGAAGCGGGAGGAGGTGAAGTAGACGGAGAGGGTGATGTGGATAGCGGATGATAAGAGGGTGGAGTGCGTGAGGTGAACAGAGGGGCCCACGCAATGGGGGCCATGAACGGGGGGGGGGTGAGCGGAGGGGGGGCATGAGCGGAGGGAGTGAGAAGCGGAAAGAGCAGTAAACTGTGAGGATGAAGGGAGGTAGGAGCGGGACTGGAAGCAGCAGGCGCTCACAGGGAGAGCAGTAGAAGGGGAGAGATGGGATGGGATACAGAGGGGGTCAGGGGAAGCAAAGGGTCTGTGAGGCGAGGGCAGCGCGAGGAAGGTAGGATGGGAGTCGGACCAACGGAGAAGATGAAGAGTGAGAATAATGAACGGCATATGCAAAGCACGAGCGTCCGGACACGTATGCAAGAGGGGAAAATAGAGAGGACATCTCAATAGTGTGATGGTTGAATGAACCAGTCATGCCATAGCATACAACACCATGCCATTGCCTCTTAACTTAACCCCACACACGCGCTTTCCCTTCCAATCCCCCTCCTCTCCTCCATACCATCAACCCCCCTGTTCCCCCCATTCGCGTCTCTTCCCCCGCCTCACAATCCTCGCCTCGCCTCTCTCGCCTCCCTCGCCCCCGTCACCCCCTCGCCTTCCTCGCCTCACCTCCCACCCCCTCTCCTCCCCTGCCTTGACCCCCTCGCCTCACCTTTGTGTGGGCGTGGTGTGTGGTGGTATGTGGGCGCGGCAGTGTGCTCCGAGGCAATCAGTTCACTGGGGAGATTGCTGGGTCCCTCGACAGCCTTGGAAACCTCGCGAATCTGTGAGTGAGGGAGTGCACATGTGAGTGAGGGAGTGCACCAGTGAGTGAGGGAGACGTGAGTGCACCTGTGAATCAAGGAGACGTGAGTGCGCGTCTGTGCTTAACCCCTGTGCTCACAAGCATAACCTTTGCGTTCACGAGCATGCCCTCCCCAATTCACCCACCAGCACACCCCATTGCCCACCCCGCCGCCCACCACGCCGCCCGCCCCGTCGCCCGCCCCGCCGCTCGCCCCGCCGCCCGTCCCCCTGCCCGCCCCGCCGCCCGCCCCGCCGCCCGCCCCATCCCCCCCCCCCCTCCCCCCCCCCCCCCGCCCCCCCCCGCCGCCCACCCCGCCGCCCCCCCCCGCTTGCAACTCCATCCACAGTGACCTCTCTGCCATCCGCTTTGGAGGGACCTTTCCTTCCCTGGCCAACTGTCAGAGGCGTCTGAGAAACGATTTTTGAGGCACCTAAGAAACCGCCACACTCCGCTTCGCTCTCCCCTTCCTCCCTCCCCCCTCCCCCCGAGCTCCTCTTGTCAGTGACATGTCTGCCAACCTCTTCGTGGGTACCATTCCTTCCCTGGGCAGCTTGGCCGCGCTCACACGTTATTCGCAGTCATCATTTCAAGATATTCACCTGCCACGCGCCATCATCAATCAATAGCGTTACAATTTACTATCCTCTCAAAGGAGCTAGGTAGCTAGCTAGGTAGAGAAGCCATGGAAATGGCGTGAGGGTTTAGGCTAGGAGAAAATGTCGAGAGAGAAGAGAGTTGGACTAGATGAGAGAGGGATACAAGAAGGGGGGTTGTACCCTCTACAGTAGGATTCAGAAAGTAGCATAACTACCAAGCCTACATAAAGATATATTTAAATATATGCTTTGACACACCCCCTAGGCTTGGTAGTGACAAGCCCATCCCGCCCCCAGCACCCCCCCATCCTTGCACCCCCATTCCCTGCAGCAGCAGTGGCGTCCACCAGCTGGTCGACCCCTCGGCAAGCGAGGTGGCGACGTCGGCAGCGACGACAGCGGCAACGAGGCCAGCGGCACCAGCTGCAACGGCGACGGCTTCGACGATAGTGGTGGCGATGTCAGAGCTCGCAGCACTCGGCGGCGTGGCCCAACCTGCAATAATGAGGGGGAGGATGGCACGAGGTCGCCAGCAGCTGCAGCAGGGAGGAGGGGAAAGGCAGAGTAGGGGAAGGGGGAAGGGGTGGGGGGGGATCTTCAGCGCGGTGCTTACTGGCGTGCGGGCGGGCTGGACGCAGCTAACATGGTGCGCGGCCTGCTGCCGCTCATGCGCTGGCTCGTCGACGCCGCCGCGACAGCACGACGAGGCTGCCACGGCAGCGCGTCGAGAATGCCGCGGCAGCACGACGCGGCCGGCGGCACGACGACGTCGCCACAGCAGTACGATGCGGCCGCCATGGCAGCACGAGAGAGAGAGAGAGAGAGAGAGAGAGAGAGAGAGAGAGAGAGAGAGAGAGAGAGAGAGAGAGAGAGAGAGAGAGAGAGAGAGAGAGAGAGAGAGAGAGAGAGAGAGGAGTAAGCAGCGGAAGCGAAGCGAGAGAAGAAGGTACAGCTCGTTGAACCTGCTCTGTTACCATCTCAAAGGCGCTAGGTAGCTTGGTAGATAGAGAAGCCATGGAAATGGTGTGAGGGTTTCGGCTAGGAGAAAATGTCGAAAGAGAAGAGAGTTGGACTAGAAGAGAGAGGGATACAAGAAGGGGGGTTGTACCCTCTATAGTAGGATTCAGTAAGTAGCACAACTACCAAGCTTATACAAATATATATTTAAATATATACCTTGACATGTCCAATAGGAGTTTTCGCCAGTACCCATTCGGTCAGCTGAATTATTCAACCATCTTCGACGGCTGAGAATAAAAGTGATTGTTTCGACGCTTTCTGACCACTGATTTTAGTTAAACCTGAAGACCTCGTCAAGCCGGCGTAATCATTACACCCGTCACAGGGCTGAAGACTTACAGTTAGATCGGGGATTCCTTTTAATGACTGTTCGACTTCGATAAAGGGAGTGCCTTCTTTTAGAATGTGGGAGAGTATAAGGAATTACCATTCCTTATTGGGGCTCGCCACTGTAAGTAAACGCGAACCTCTCGGTTCCGCAGGCTCGGCTCCAAGTCACGCGCCAAACCAACCCCCGCCGATCTCGATGGCCCCAACCTCATCCTGAGTCGCCCCGAACCCATTTTGACCCCATCACCCTCGGGACTATCGAGCCCTTGACTGGTCCAACCCTCGACATTCAACTCTGGTCAATCGCCCTATATATTCCCTAGGCCTCATTTCTATCAACATTCTGTAGAATTCAGTAATCACGTTCCCCTATAGTATTCTGCGCTATACTCTGAGTTATAATCCATAACACATTAGTTGGTTCTTATGTGTGTTTTTCAAGGGGCTTGTTGGCGGAACTCATTCTGTGTCCCCCAATCGCTCACGAGAGTGGATGGAGCGCATATGCGGAACTGGTGTTGTTTTGTGAGAAAAATGATAAAAAGGGTCCTCGCCCCGCTAGAGGCGTGAGCAAAAAAGGTACGGCAACTTTCTGCCCCGAGACCTTGTTTCCGAACCTGTGATATATCGCATTCATCGTACAAGACGTACATATTTTTGGTTCGCGACACATCTCAGGTTTGTGGGGCGCGTTGTATCGTGACCCAGTGAGGTGTGACATTTATACGAACAGTATTTTAAGGTATTAAAAATAAACTAAAACCCGTAGGGCCCTCACATGCGACTCAGGGTGGCATCAACCCTAAAATCGCAAAAGAGCTACGTGTTTAGGGTTGATGCCATCTCGAACGGAATTCGGTCCCAAATGGGTTTTATGTTTTTTATTTTTTCGTTGATAAACCTTTACTAGTAAGTACTAAAAATAAAGCGGAGTGTATTACAGGCTCGGAGGTAGACGGATTTTTTTTTCTCACACTCCTGGCAGAGCGAGGACCCTTTTTATCATTTCCCTTTGGGACGAAATTCCGTTCCGGATGGCATCAACCCTAAATACGCGGCCGTTTTGCGAGTTTAGGGTTGATGCCACCCTGAGTCGCATGCGGTTCCCCTATGGGTTTTATGTTTTTTTTTTTTTTTTTTTTTTTTTTTTTTTGTATGTGTGCCCTAATACAGGACATTGAATTCATATAAAGGTCCCACCACAGGGTTACGACACGAAGCGCCCCCATGAACATGCAAATTTGTGACCCTGTGATGTGTGCGTATTGTATGACGAATAAGGTGTAGCACAGGCTCGGAGACGAGCTCTCGGGGCAAAATGCTGCCGGACCTTTTTTGCTCACGCCTCTAGCGAAGGGAGGACCCTTTTTTTTATCATTTCCCATTTCCCTTGTTTTGTGCCACCCTAGGCAATTGACAGCGGTGATGGTTTGCGACTGTTCGGTTCGGAGTTTGCTGATGTGCTTCTTGGTGGCGGCGCTAGTGAAAGCAACGGTATGGTTTTCCGTCTGCCGAACCTGTGGCACTTGTGCCATACGCTTTGGGCCTGGGGCTTATCCCCAGGCCAAGCCAACCTCGGTTCGGGAAGTGTGGAGGGCCATGGCTGCGCAGCACAAGCAGCCCGGTGGCCCAAATGCCTACAGAACCAGGCCTTTCGTTGAGCTTGGTGGTTGGTTCGGGGGGGGGGGGGAGTTGTGGGGGTTTTTGTTCATTAGTCCCGAGTCCGTCCCCCTCAATTGTTCCTGAGGCCTTCATAGAGGCCTCTGCTCTGCTCCAGAGCATCCTGAAACTAAGTCGTTTTGCTGTTCGTTGAGATTCTAATTAGTTAGAGTTGCCTCAGCTTGTTAGGGAGGTTACTTTAGGTCGAATTCTTAGACCATTTTTAAAGGCTCTCTTTTAGTCTGAACCTGTACATAAGTTGTTTAGGGTTTCGCCACATTGGGTTCTAGGAACTATGCGTGCTGGTTGCAGCGGGGGGTGAGCTGTCACCAAGTTACGGGCAGCGATAGTCCCGTCCTTTTCTAGCAGACGAGCCTTTTACGCCGAGGAAGATAATTAATTTGAGGAACCATGTCAGGCATGGAGCCTCGGATAGCTAACAAGTATCGACTTGGGAGGAAGATCGGTAGTGGATCGTTTGGAGAGATCTATCTGGGTACGTCAGCTAAGCCTCTTCGTCACAGGCAAGAGTCAAACAGTTTAACAGCAAGAGTCTTAATATCTAGCGACTAACGTTTGTCGTCTCCGTGGTGTACAGGCACAAACATTCAGACGAATGAGGAAGTCGGCATTAAGCTGGTACGCCACGGCATCGATTGCCTTTACACCGCGGAGTTTCTTCGTCTTCCTCACAGACTCTTAACGTTTAGATACCTTCGCCGCCCGCGCAGACTTTAACATACACTTACCGCTTATGTACCTGCAGGAGTCTACCAAGACCAAACACCCTCAGCTGCTGTACGAGTCTAAGCTGTACAGGATTCTGCAAGGAGGAAGTAAGTGAAGCTACCGCCGTTCTCCCTTAGATTGTCGTCCGCAGTTTCCTCGTCGAAAGCTTGTCGGAAGCTTCTTTAAGAGTCTCGAGGCTCCATGTGCATCACGCTTGCTGGTTACTCCCCCTCCCCGACCGAAGATCAATCCTAGTTTAGTTTTTCTGACCGCAACTACCTTATGCTTCGTGCATGGTGAATGCTCGCAGCCGGCATTCCGAACATCAGGTGGTTCGGCGTGGAGGGCGACTACAACGTGATGGTCATCGACCTGCTCGGGCCCAGCCTGGAGGACCTCTTCAACTTCTGCGCGCGCAAGTTCTCGCTCAAGACCGTGCTCATGCTCGCAGACCAGCTGGTGGGTTCACAGACGATCGTGCTGAACGTCTCTCCTCTCCTCCCCCCCCCCCCCCCTTTCTTCCCCGCCCCTTCGCTTCCTTGTTACCCCCCCTTCCCCCGCACCCATTCTCCTTCCCTCCGAACCGCTCTCTCGCGTTCTCATCCATTTCGGCGGCTAAACTGTTGTCGCCGTCTTGTCTCTCGTTTGTCGACAACATTGTGCGTGAGGGAGTTATAAGCCAACTTGGAACTGGAAGACGCATCTCGATTTTGAGTTTGCGCAAACTTCTGGACGCCGCGACGGTCGCGAGGCCATGGTGATTGGACGCGACCGGATGCATAGACGAGGTAGGCGGTAGAGCCCATTAGAATCTGTTGCAGACATGGCAACAGCAGCATAGCATCGTAACAGCGGCGGGTAACAGAGGGGGAGTGACGGTCAGCGACGGGACAACAGCAAGGGTCGTAGTCGGAGCAGATCTAGGTTGTCTGAGCGCCATCGTTTTCCGTCACCTCGCGAAACTGAATCGTCAGCTAACATCGTCTCGCCATGCCGTATTCCCCTCGTCCCCCGTCTTCGACCCCGTCCTCGTCCCCCTCGCAGCTGAATCGCGTGGAGTACGTGCACTCGAAGAGCTTCCTGCACCGAGACATCAAGCCGGACAACTTCCTCATGGGCCTGGGGCGCCGGGCGAACCAGGCGTACGTCATCGACTTCGGCCTCGCCAAGAAGTACCGCGACCCCACCACCCACCAGCACATCCCCTACAGGTTTGTGGCGCTTATTTATATCTTTTGAATCTCGGAGCTGTGCTGGGGACGGATTGTGCCATAGCGTGTGCCCGTCAGGTCTCTTTCAGGCGCTGACAGATGCACTTTCCGTGTCTGCTGGCTGCGTGGGCAGAGAGAACAAGAACTTGACCGGAACTGCGCGTTATGCCAGCATCAACACACATCTAGGCATCGGTATGTCGCACTTCACTCTTGCGAGAGCAACGGCGCCCACACTTTCTTCATCTCTTCCCCATGGTTGTGAGGTTGACTTCTTGTTATTTCTTGCCAACCTCTCGCATTTCAGAGCAAAGCCGAAGAGACGATCTGGAGTCACTTGGCTATGTGCTGATGTACTTTCTGCGAGGAAGGTATGTCTTGGGTTCATCGGCCCTCCGAGGGAGTTATGCCTTGTGCTCGTTGACAGTGGCCGCTGAGTCGGTGCAGCAAACAACGCTTGCAAGCAGGCACATGAGAGTTTCTGGTTTTTTTGTATGACTGACCATTTGTTTCCTCTGGCATCGCTCCATGCTTTTCTGGTCCCAGCCTTCCGTGGCAGGGACTTAAGGCGGGGACCAAGAAGCAGAAGTATGAGAAGATCAGCGAGAAGAAGATGTCCACTCCCATTGAGGTACTCCTCTTCAAACATGTGTTGTAAAGTATGCTTTGGTGCTTGCTCATGCTGTGCTGAGTGCATTCGCTTATTTCCACCCTGGGGTTGTTGTCTTGAACTTCGTAGTCTGTCTACGCGTCTGTTGATGTATCGCATTTCCTCTCCCGTCCAGGTTCTCTGCAAGGGCTATCCCACCGAGCTCGCCTCGTACTTCCACTACTGCCGCTCCCTTCGCTTCGACGACAAGCCGGATTATGCCTACCTCAAGCGCCTCTTCCGCGACCTGTTCATCCGAGAAGGTACACCTCGCCCAGCCTTCTTTCCTCCAGACTTGAGATGTTTCTTTCTGTCATAGGTGTGTCGTTGCCTTTCCTGGATAGTCAGCCTGAAATCTGGTATATGGTGTTTGGTGTGGGTGGCTGGCAGGTTTTCAGTTTGACTACGTGTTTGACTGGACCATTCTCAAGTATCAGCAGTCCCAGGCATCGGTGGCTCCCCAGCGCCTCCTTGTACGTCTCCCATGGTTCCCGCCTCTTGTTGGCATTTATGTGATGAGGCATTGCAGCTGGATTCGCTGATGTCATGGGGATGACACCTTTTTTTTTTTCATTGATGGTGATTCTTTTTGTTGGTCCGTGCTGTGTGTCTCCAGGCAAACGCAGCAGTGGCTCCTGCTCCTGTTGCGAATCAGGCAGCCAATGCTGGTATGCAGGGAAAGGGTTCTGGCTAGTGTGCCCTCTCATCCTGGGCCCCACCTGCAATCTTGCCCTTGTGCATTCCTTTTTTTCATGGCCACCATGGATTCGTCTTCATTCATCTCTCCCTAAGCACGCCAGCCCTTCTCTCTCCACTCGTGTGAATTGCCTCACTCCTCTCAGATGACATGGCGAGGCGTCGATCTCCACTGATCGAGAGCCCACGGCACAGGAGCCCTCTGCGTGATGATGATGTGAGGCCCGCAGAACAGCCCCTTCCCCCCGTCTCCCTGTTCCTCTTCCTCCTGTTCTGTCCTCCCTTCTGATCCCAATTACCTTCCCTAGCCTGTGAACTCTGCTTGCATTGCTTGCTGATCTGATCAGCGGAATCATGTCTCACGTGTGCCGTTGTCCTGCCACCATCCCATGCCATCCTTCCTCTGCTGTGTCCCTTCCATGCAGGGAGTTGATGCTGACCGGCAGATGCATCAGGGGGGCTACACACGCACTGGCAGTGGATCCGCTGCCAGGAGAGCAGCGGCTGCAGCACCTGGGGGTGGCATGGGGGTCCCAGGGGCGAGGGCAGGGACAGCAGAGCAGGCGGAAGTGAAGCGGTCGGGAGGCCTCGGCATTTCGAACGCCCTGTCCGGCATCCGGTCAGGGGCACGGGTAAGTTCCCATTTTTCGTGTCGGCTGCCCGATATTTTATTGGGTCCATGAGAGGGTGACCTGTCCTTCCTGCCCTGACTTTTTGCCCATACCCTCGTTCCTCATCTGTCAACTTTTGTGTCCCTAACTTCCCTCTCAACATCCCTTTTTCACTTTTCCTTCCCTCCTGCCCATGTCAACCCACTCATCCATATTGGTGAACACAGGGGCGTGACATGTTTGCTGGTGGGCGTTTGGGAGGCACCTCTCGTGGGCCCAAGGAGTAGTTCTCTACCAGCCATGGACACGACAGGCTTGGGGTTTTCCCGGTGGTTGCGTTACACCAGCGAGGAGGGGTGGTGTTCTCTCGGAGAGTGCAAGGTGTCATGTTGAGCTGCTGCATTCAAAATGTCACGGAAATGTTATGACACAAGGCACAGGTTACGAAGGGTGGTCAGGAGCTGGAGCAGGTTGGAATCGTCATATCAAGCTTGAGTATTGACATCACATTCAGCTGGGCCTGGTTGCAGAGGAAGTCCTATCAGGGCCTGACACGTTGTGAGATCGTGGGTTTGACAGCAACAAAAACTCAGCTGCATAACCAGAAACTGACCAATGGCCCAGGATTAGCTTGCAGCAATAGATGGTGCTTGCTGGTTAATGCAGCCTTGGGCTGATTCTTTAGAATGGGGGGTTTACACAATAGTGGTAGAACTTGATTGGTGGGTGGTGGCCCTTCACTCCCACATCGTTTTTATGCGTAGGGCGCCATCAACATGTTGAAATGAAATGTTTCCAGTACAGTGTCGTACCGTGCCTGTCCGTTCTGATGCGTTGATTTGGTATGTTATCGGGTTGAGGGTTGAGGTGCCTGATATGACACGACCACGCCCACCACCTGACAGTCATGAAGCAGGCACTTCCCGCCTCATCGTGGAAGCGTGAAGCTGGTGCTTCGCCTATCCCCTCCCACCCCTTTTCCCCATTCCAATTCAAACGTGACTGGGCATTGTTGCCACTTCTGGCTCAAGGGTTCTTGCTCCCGCACTGACCAGCTTGCATTTCATGCTCGACGTTGCTCGATGCATTAGTGCTATTTCTTAGAACGGCCATTTTGATTGTTCACACTAGCGTCATGACTATGACAACAGATGTTGAGGCTGTCATGCCAAGCCAGGAGTGCCCTCGGCTAAGTCAGCTGACACCGGATCAACTTGAACGGATTGAGAGAAACAGGCTGGAGGCGATCAAGAGGCGAGAGGCAGCCATAAGACGAGACGCGCTAGCGCACGTACCTGCAATAGCTGCCAATATGTTAGGCTCCGTAAACTCCAGCACTCCGTTCAAGAAGAGGAAAGTTGAACATGCTATTCTGCCAGGAAGCCTTCCTCCGCCATACATCCCTGCTGTTACTCAGTCGGAGCAAGTTGACGAGCCGAAGCGCCAAGATTCGGAAAAAAATTCAGACGTTAAGTTCTCCGAAGAGCAAATACAGGCATTGCGAGCCGTTGCTATGCGCAACTCTGTCTTCTTGACAGGTTGTGCAGGGACTGGAAAGAGCTTTGTGCTCGAGTTCGCTATCCGTTCACTAAGGTAGGAAGACAGCTATTCAAAACAAGGCCCGCCTAGTCCCCTCTGGAGACGACTAATTCTACTGTTTTTCCTGCATTTTCAGGGCTATGCATGGGAGCGATACAGTCTACGTGACGGCGTCAACAGGCCTTGCTGCATGCGCTCTTTCAGGAACGACTCTCCATTCGTTTGCTGGAGTTGGTCTGGGAATTGGTTCTAAAGAAGAGTTGATGCATAAGGTCCAGACCCGGAGGGAAGCACGACAGAGGTGGCAAGGTGCACGAGCCCTTGTCATTGACGAGATCAGCATGATTGATGCGCAGTTTTTTGTAAGTTCACCACTGCTTAATGTTGGCTATTCGTTTCCCTTGCCTGTTTTACTCGCACTTAATCCTCCCCCTCCCCCTCCTCCTTGATACTGGGTTTCAGGAGAACCTTGAATTCATTGCAAGAAAAATCCGCAAGACGGCCAAACCGTTTGGAGGCATTCAGCTACTTGTAACCGGCGACTTTTTCCAGCTCCCTCCAGTGAACCCACAGAGCAACGTCGCATACGCATTCGAGGCGAAGTGCTGGAATGACTGCTTCAATCTGCAGATGGAGCTGAAACACGTTTTCAGGCAGTCTGACCTCACGTTTGTGAGCATGTTGAATGAAATCAGGGAAGGCATTGTCACACCTGCGACGCATGAGAAATTGAGGAAACGCATCTGTTGTGCTCCAATTGGAAACGATGGCATCATGCTGACAAAGCTATACCCATACAAGGTGAGCACTGTGTTCTAGCTGAAGTGAGTGTCTCTGCTGGTTGGGTGTTCTTTTCGCATCACTTGCCAACCATCTGACACTGCATTTTGTTTCAGGCAGATGTTGCTGGAGAGAATTTTCAGCGGCTCCAGGAGCTTCAAGAGCTTGAAATGGTGTACAATGCCAAGGATGAGGGCAAGAGTGAATATGCAAAGAAGCAGCTTGAATTCACGCGCGCTGAGAAGCGATTGACACTGCGCCGTGGTGCACAAGTCATGCTTATCAAGGTAATATAGCCAGGGCCAAGATTGTCCCCTTTTTTCATATGGAACAGGCTCTTGAAATCATGTCTGGAATTTCATGTCTGTGCATCTGAACTTGCAGAATCTAGACACACCCCAAGGGCTTGTCAACGGCGCCAGGGGTGTTGTGGTTGGCTTCTGCGACCCAGCTAATCCCTGTGCTGCACAGTTCAGGCATCTGGTTCCAATCATCAACCCCTCAGCGATGTGGCCCGTGGTTCGCTTTGCATGCGACCAATCTGAGCGAATTATTGGTCCTGAGAGCTGGGCAGTGGAGGAGTATGGTAATGAAATTGCCAAGCGTTGGCAAGTCCCGCTGACTCTGGCGTGGGCCCTCAGTGTGCACAAGTGCCAGGGAATGACACTGGACAGGGTGGAGACTGACCTCAAGAGGGCGTTTGACTACGGGATGGTGTATGTTGCTCTCTCCCGTGTCCGGTCTCTTGAAGGCCTTCGGCTTCTGGGCTTCGATGCTGGCAAGGTCAAGGTACGCCTGCATTTAGGAGAGTTTATTTCACCCTGTCTTGAAGGAAAGTGCACGCATTGGGCTGAGCTTTTGAAATCCCTTCTTGCAGGTGAATGCTAAGGTTGTGGAGTTCTACAAGCAATTGCAGAGACATGATGCTTCAAGTGAAAAGGCTTTTGAAGTTTGAAATCACTGGCTCTTCTTATCCACTCCATCAATGAGCTACCGGAGACTGACGTGCATCTGTTTCAGTATTTTTCATCAACGTACAGTTGTATTTATGTATTGTTTATGCGTATAAGATCCTACAGTACACCCCTAAATCCGGCAACCTCAGCACTATCGACCAATCAAACTTCTTGAGGGATCAGCAAATGTGGGGAAACTGCTGCTTCCTGTTCTTGTCACTGCTGTTGAGCTGCTCCTGTTGGGAAGCTCAACATTTTTGCCCGGTACAGCTCCCTCTCCGGCTGTTCTTTGGGTCAACTGGACATTCACTTCCCCTCCAGCACGTGATGACAGCAACAGCACGTGCTCCTCTTGTTCCACCACTGCTTGTTGCTGCTTGTGGCCAGACGAGAAGAGACCACCACAAGTCACAGTAGCGACAGGCGATTCCGCACCAGACCCCGATTCGACGTTGTAAGACCTCGAAGCACTGCACTCATTCGACGGGTTGACTGATGAGAAGTCACTTGTGCCACATGCTGCACCACTTCCATAGATCTTATCCTTCCCATGAAGCTCTGAGCTGCTGCTCTCTGCAAGGCCCTGACTGTGTCTGTGATCCTGGCTCCTTCCATAGGTGTAGCCGTAGCTGCCTGATGACCCCTGCTCATCAAGGCTCTTCCAGTACTGCACTGCCACGTCCAGGGTCATCCCCATCGTGTCACTCTCCCCTTGCTGCTGCGCCTGAGCGATTTCCTGCATCATCAATAAGGACCAGCAACCATTCAAAAGAAATGTCAGTCCTGAGAGATAAGGAGCAACGGCTGCAGCAGCAGAAGTGACAAGGAATGAGCACCACACACGGGAAGGAATTTGGGAGCAGATGGGGGAAGGTGGAAGAATGTGCAAGAGCAACGTACCGCAGGGGCCCATGTTCTGACGAGGGGAGCGAGCACAGTGACCACATCGGTCATGGAGGGCCGCTGGCGTGGATCAGCAGCCACACAGTGCAGTGCGAGATCCGCCACCCTGCAGAGCGATGTAAACGGCTGACCGGCCTGGTCTGCCATGTCTGCTGCTATGGCAGGGTCCACCACCTGAAAGGAAGGGATGCATGCATGTCAATGGACACATGGCAGGACAGCACGCACGCATGTCGACGGACACATGAACGAGAGTCCATCAAGCCATGTCAACGAACCACGTCCACCACAACTGCATGAACGACCATTTTTCCCCCTTCCAGCCACCCCCTTCCTGGATCACAACGCCCACCTGAGCAAGCTTGGAGCGATCGGGGATGATCGGGAGGAGGAACGTGGCCAGATGCGCTGAGAGGTCGGGCCGGGATGTGTCCACGGCTCGCCGGCCAGTGAACAGTTCCATGAGGATAACGCCAAAACTGTACACGTCAGAGCGTGTTGTGACACGGCCCATGGCTGCAACGCAAAAGGGAGACGTAAATTTGGGATTGATTGAGATAGGCAGGGTAGGATGGCATGTGATGGAAGGGAAAGAGGTTGCGTGGGAATGAGGAGAAGCAAAATGGGCCTTCCACTTTCACCCCAAGACCATCCACCTACCACCAACCAAACATCCGCTGAACCCACTTTGCCTACCCATCCCGCGCTCACCTGCATATTCAGGCGCCAGATACCCAAACGTGCCAGCCAATCGTGTCTCAACAGACAGAGCAATCTCGGAGTCCATCCCCCCTCCACAGCTCCCCTCCCTCTCCCCTCCCCCGTGCTGCTGCAGCGGCCGCAATACAAGCTTAGCCAGCCCAAAATCAGCCACCTTGGCGCGTCTCCTATGGTCTAGAAGCACGTTGGCGGGCTTTAAGTCGCGGTGCACCACTGTGTCCCGGCCCCCTGCCAGGCTGTGCAGGTACTCCATGCCTCTGGCCACGTCTAGCGCTATCACTAGGCGCTCGGTCCAGGTTAGGGGTCGGTGGTTGTAGCGCGTGGGGTCAAACAGGTGCTGACTCAACGGACCCTGGTGGTGGGGAGAAGGAGACGGAGGTACCGAGTAAAGCATGGTGGCTGTAGCTCATAGGGCCAAACAGGCGCTGACTCAATGATCCATGACATGACATGACATGACACGACGTGACATGACATGACATGACGTGACATGACATGACATGACGTGACATGACGTGACATGACATGACATGACACGACATGACGTGACATGACGTGACATGACATGACATGAACCTAACAGAGCCATACTAATACTCTTACGTGCCAATCATCTGAATCACCAGACACAACTCACCAGGTCCATGTATTCGAACACCAGCAGGCGCTCGTGGTCGTCCATGACATGCCCCAGCAGCGCCACGAGATTGCGATGGCGCACCTTGGAGAGCACCGCCACCTCGGACTGGAGGGGCGTGGAGGGTAGGGTGCACCATGCAGGGGCAGAGAGGAGAGCAGGAAAGGGGAAACTGGTGAGTCGAATCCAAGGCGAGGATGCACCTTGGAGAGCACCGCCACCTCGGACTGGAGGGGCGTGGAGGGTAGGGTGCACCATGCAGGGGCAGAGAGGAGAGCAGGAAAGGGGAAACTGGTGAGTCGAATCCAAGGCGGGGATGCACCTTGGAGAGCACCGCCACCTCGGACTGGAAGGGTGGGGAGGGTGCACCGTGCAGGGGCAGAGAGGAGAGCAGGAAAGGGGAAATCGGTGAGTCGACTCCAAGGCGAGGATCTTAGAGAGCACTCCCAAATCGGACTGGAGGGGTGAACGAGAAATGGAAGTCAGGATGCCCTGGAGATGGAACGAGTGGAGGGAAGAGGGGATAAGTCGAATCCATCGGCGGAGGGAGGAGGAGGTGGCAGTTGATCCTTAATTTCTACATAGGACCAGCCTGCGCCTACCCTGTGCAGAGCCCTTGATAGACCGTGCTCAACCCGTGCCCCTGCCAAGCCGTGTACCAAGCCTTTGCCCTGCCTCCACCTGGTCGGTGCAGAGCCCTTACTCACCACAAACTCTCTCGCCCCATTTTCACAGATCGTTCCAGCCTCCATCCTCTCAAATGCCACCGTCGCCCCATCTGGCATCTGCCCGCAATAGACCATGCCCAACCCGTGCCCCTGCCAAGCCGTGTACCAAGCCTTTGCCCCACCTGCATGTGTAAGTAGTTTCGTTCTCAGTCCACTCAAAACCACCTCCACCTGGCCGGTGCAAAGCCCTTACTCACCAGAAACTCTCTCGCGCCGTTCTCCCTAATTGGTCCAGCCTCCATCCTCTTGACCGCCACCATCGTGCCGTCGGGCATTTCCCCGCGGTACACTGTGCCGAACCCGCCCCTCCCCACCACGTGGCTGGGAGCAAACCCTGCCGTCGCCTCTCGAATCACCTCTATGCTCACTGCCAGCCCCCCTCCCAGCGCTAACCGCGCGCTTGCTATCACTGTCCCCGTGCCATCCCCTCCTGCTGCTGCTCCTGCTGCTTCTCCTGTTGCTGCTCCTGCTGCTGCTGCTGCTGCTGCTCCTGCTGCTCCCCCTGCTGCTGCTGCTGCTGGTGTTAGTCCAGATGCTGCTGGGTGTAACGAGGAAGAGGCGGGGTGAGGATACGTTTGGGGAGTCCTCTGCTTCCCCTTGCTTGGCCTCACGCAGCACCACCACCCCACAGCCAGCCCCGCTACCAGCGCCACCACTGCTGCCGCCACCACCACCCCCACCACCACCCCTGTCCCCGCGCCCTTCCCCCCACCGGACCCCCCAGGCGCCTCTGCTGTGGAGGGGGAAGGGGCGGAAGGGGGAGAAGTGCCCCCAGGTGTGGTGGGGAAGGGGGAAGGGGAGGACGGGGGCGAGGTGGAGGATGGTGCGGGGGCAGATGGGGGAGTGGGGGAGGGAAATGGAGCAGGGGAGGAAGGCGGTGCTGGGGGGGAGGATGGTGCAGGGGAGGGGGAAGAAGGGGGAGAGGCGGAAGGAGGGGCAGGGGAGGGGGAGGATGGTCCAGGGGAGGGGGAAGAAGGGGGAGAGGCGGAAGGAGGGGCAGGGGAGGGGGAGGATGGTCCAGGGGAGGGGGAAGAAGGGGGAGAGGCGGAAGGAGGGGTAGGGGAGGGGGAGGAAGGTGGGGAGGGAGCAGAGGGTGGAGCTGGTCCGAAACTGTTACTGCTGGTAACCAGCTGGACCTGGGAGGGGAATGCAGGCCAGGGACCGGACAGACGGTTGTTGCTGACGTCAAGCAAGGTAAGCTGTCTTAAAGACGTGAGAGAATCCGGAATAGAGCCGGTTAGGTTGTTATTCTTGAGAATTATGGCCGCTAATGACGTCAGGTTTGCCAACGATGATGCCACCGAGCCTCCCAGGTCCAGGTTCGGCAGTTCCATGCCTACCACCGAGCCTTGACCTCCAGGAGAGCAGGTAACACCCAGCCAGTTGGACCCACACGGCGCCGCTCCAACCCAAGAAGTTGAGAGACTCAAAGGGTAATTTACCCCTTGCAGAAACCCGAGCAGGGCATTCACATCACCAGGGCAACTTCCCCCAGGCTGGCTGCTGCAAAACCCATTCTCCCGGTACGAGCTGGAGGGGAATTTACCCATGAAAGTCGGAAGAGGACCCACAAGCGCGTTTCTGTACACTGTGAACATTTCAAGAGCCAGTAGGTTCCCGATAGAGGCCGGAATTGTCCCTGTAATGCGATTCTGGTGTAGCTGTAGCTGTCTCAGCTGCAACCCTCCCCCGCCACTGCCTAACGTGCTCGGAATACTCCCAGTGAGATTGTTAACGTGAAGAGTGAAGTTCACCAGCTGAGACGCTGCGGCCACCTCCGGGGGAATCTCCCCGCCGAGATTGTTGTTATTCAGGCTAAGAATCGCCATGGATTTGAGGGAAGTGAAGAGGAATGATGGTATCGAGCCTCCCAGCAGGTTCTGCCCGAGGCTGAGGTACGTCAGGCTTGTCATGCTGCCGAGGCTGTCAGGTATGGACCCAACCAGCTGGCAGCCCGTGAGCAGCAGCGCCTGGAGGCTCGTCAGTTGCCCGAGCTGACTAGGAACGGAAGAGCCTGAGAAGCTGTTGCGGCTGAGTATGATGGTGGTAGGCTGGTACAGAGACCCTAAAGAGGTGGGTAATGAACCAGTTAGCCCAAACCCGGTTAGGTCTATTCTCACTACGTACTGAAATTTCCCTGTGGTGGCCTGGCCGTTTCCGCTACCGTTTCCTGCTCCGTTGCCTCTGCTGCTGTTGCTGCTGCTGCTGATGATACCGTTGCCGTTTCCATTCCCGCTGTTGCTTCTGACTCTAGCAGGATTCGATCCCACGGCTGTCGCGCACTTAACGCCTAGCCATCCGCTGGCGCAGGGGTCTGTCCCGGCCTTCCAGTTACTAAGCCTCGCCTGGTTGGTCGGCTCCTCCAGAAAGCCCTGTAGCGCCGTGATGTCTGAGGGAAGAGTAGCAGCTTGCGCGGCGGGTGGAGCGGAGACGAGGGAATGGAAGAGGAGGAGGGGGAGGAGAAAGAGACGGTGGTAGTGATAACGATGATGGTGATTATGGCGTCGGATGGTCACTGGTCGCGTTTGTGCGAACGTCGCTGCGGTTACTCCGCGAGAGCGTGCGACTCTGCTGACGATCATGGTTTCGTCGAAGATAGGCCTGAGGACGCGAGACTAGACTGTGGAGGTTAGAACCCGGAGAGGACCCTCAGAGGAGTCACCGCACTTCGAATGTTGGAAGAGGTAGCTGACGGAATTACATCTAGAAGGAGAAAACATGCTGATATTGTCCGCTCCGACTCGTCCTAATCACTCAATGCTAGGTGCACTGCGCTGGAACGACGACACCATATCGACGGGAGACGCAATTACTACCGAGGCGCGACTCATTTCGTCTTGGTATCATGTCAGCAGAAATTCTCGCAACGACTTCAGCTAGCTTCGTAATCTTGAGGATACGGTAGCGCGGAAGAGCGAGCCATACTCTACTCACTGCCGGTCACATGAGCAAGACGAGCTGAGCTGGACTGGCATGGTCCACGTCAGGCACAGGTACTATCTGTGTTGGAAACAAGAACTGAAGTGGGTGAAGGAGACATCCTCAACAAAAAGCAGCCATACTAGCTTCCCTAGGCAGAAACGCTGCTGTGTCGGAAACAAAAACTAACCTTTGAAGTCAGGAGGACCGAGGATTCTACAGAAGCCAGGATAACAAGAGAAGACGGGCAGGGGAGGCAGGCAGGCAGGGATTCCCAAGACGGTGAGGGCGTGGAAGAATGCGTCCAGTTCGTAAGTTCGTTTTCCGAACCTCGAACAGCACCGTGTCTTAACACATTACAACTATTTACAACGTACTAAAACGTTTTGAGACCCTTAGAAATGATCCGGACATGAATCGATTTGGCAATTCGGACGCAATTTATCATGTCCCGAGGGAGGGAGCTCAGGGGAGCAGCTTGATCCGAGCAAGCAGGCGCAATTCCCGAGGGAAGCAGGCGAGCCGAGCCTCGACGGCTGGGCGACGCGGAAATTTCGCGAGCAGGTGTGCACCGTGATTCGAGCGGCCCCATTTCTTTTGGCGAAACTGGGTCGCAAAAGAACGACAGGGGACTCGATGGCTTCTTACTGGCCGACGAACTTTTCGAGCTCGTGTGTTGCAACCAATCCCTTTGCCGTCGTCAGCTGAGAAAACCGAAGCAATGAGCCATGAACAGCAGCATTTGCGCACACAGCAGCCCCAGCAGGGAAGGCGGCAGGCAGGTATGCCATGCCCGGAGCAAAGCACCTTCGTCACGCCTTCAAAATTATGTCTTCCCTACAGCGTAGCCCCATACAGACAATAGGCTCGACAAATAAAACGAACTGTATACATAACAATCTGCCGAGACACACAAAGCATGTGAGCGTGTTTGGAAGGTGATTGAGTCAAACACGTTTTCCATGTGGAGAATTAATGCCTTGTCATCACCTTCGTTGTCTCTGGTTCCCACCATGCCTCCCATCGTTCCCATCTCCAACAGAACCACTTCCCCAACCACTGCTTGCAGAACTTCCACCCCCCCACCCCCCTGTACCCCTCCCTCTTTCCCCACCGCCAGTGCTGGCACTAGTTGTGTTGCCATTATTATTGCTCACATCAGCAAAGGGCAGCCTGGCACGCTTGCGAGAGAGGCTGCGGCCGAGAATGGGGGACACCAGCAGTCGGTTATGGCTCTGCTCCTGCCACGCCGTGTACCTGCGCATGGCAGCATATCCTGCAGTCAACACTGCAACACCCAAGGAAGAAAGGCAGGATGCACACAAAAGAAGAGTTATTTGACACCTTACACTCCTGCACCCCAGCCTGCAATGATCAGCCTTGCACACAGACCAACTCCGTAGAACTCCTTTCTCTGCATCCCCACTCCCCTCACCCATGACCAACCAAAGCACAAAGAGACACAGATCCCCTGCACTCCCCAATACATCCCATTCCCATGTTCTTTGCACGCACATTGCTGCTCTTCCTTGGGCAGCAGCCGGCGCACATGAGGCACCTCCTTCTCGGGGAGCACGAAGGCGCGTGTGAGCAGGTCCCTGTAGCGCTCCACAAAGGTGCTGAACAGGAAGCGCGTGAGCGTCTTGTCGCGCACCCTGGCAGGCAGGGCGTTGGGTGGGAGACCCACAGCAGGGAGAAAAGGAGGGTGGGTGGGAATGGCGTTGTGCACAAAAGAATGAAATCAGTGTAGTGCTGCACAAAGATGTTGAACAGGAAGCGAGTGAGGGTCTCGTCCCCGTCCCACACCCTGGCAGGCAGATGAGCAGCGAGCCCAGGAAGAGGAGAGTCGTTGCAGCAACATCAAAGACAAAAAGGATCCGGGAGGGTGTTTGGAAGAGGGTAGGGTGGGACCAGCAATACAAGCACCATCAGCCTATGAAACAATTGACAAGAGCTGACATGCCTTCGGGAGTTTTCGAATAGCAGTTACAAGGGAGCTCGGAAGGCTGTAGGTGGATATGGTGACAAAGCAAACGCTGTGATGCTCATGCTATAAACCTGGCAGAAGAAGAGCACCGCACTTACCACTCAGCGATTTTGGTGCCAAATGAGTAGAAGTAGGGCGAGCAGGCACGGAGATTGACACATGCGGCGTCTGCTTGCACTTCCTTCCGAATTCTGATGGGAAAAGAATGTTTGGAAAAAGAAGGCGAAATTGCACCCGTCTAGATTCACATTTCACCATGCCTTTGAATCAGAAACCAAGCTTTGCTGTGGAAAGGGCCGGTGGGAAGAAGCCAAAGCAAACAAAGGTTGCAGGAGGAAGGGACGAGCCTAGTCACTCCCACAAGCAGACCTATGTCAATCGCCACCACTCAAGAGCGCCAGTGCTCCGCCTTCCTCATCAGTCTGAGACCAGGCCCTCAATGCATGCTGCTCTTCCGCCTGCCGCCTAAACCAGGACCACAAAGCTTCCTCCTTCCCCGCCTACTAAAAAAAGATATGGCTGCAGCACCTGCTGCCCCTTCCTCACCTCTCGCCCAACATCCTTGGCGCCAGGGCCGATAACCATGTTGCGCTTCGCTTTCGAGCCGACTCAAATGCAGCGCCTGCTGTGTCTTCCTCACTCCCAAGAATATAACGGCTCCAGCACATAAGGCCTCTGCCTCACCTGCTTGCTGCTACCTCACCTGCCGAAATGAATACAGCACCTGCGGCGTCTCCCTCACCTCTCGCCGAACATCTTGGGCTCCAGGGCCGATAACCATGTTGCGCTTCGCTCTCGAGTGCGACTCAGACGCAGCACCTGCAGCGTCTCCCTCACTCCCAAGAAAAATAAGGCTGCAGCACCTAAGGCGTCTCCCTCACTCCCAAGAATATTAAGGCTGCAGCACCCTAAGGCGTCTCCCTCACTCCCAAGAATATTAAGGCTGCAGCACCTAAAGCCTCTTGCTCACCTCTCGCCGAACATCTTGGGCTCCAGGGCCGACACCATGTTGCGCTTCGCTAGGTGCGGCACCATCCACAACGGCAAGTCCACCTTGGCGCCCGCTGCCAGCTGGCGGAACACGCATGAACGACACGTGGCAGGGAACGGGACGGGGGTGCGCGAACAAGGCTATTGAGCTTAGGAAGCACTTTCGCCAAGATGTGTCTTGAAAAGATAGAGGTCTGCGCTGATGCGTCTTAGATGCCTGTGCTTCCTGCGACTTTCCGAAGGTCACAAGCGCCTGTGCTGATGTCACTGGAGTCTATGCTTACGTCATCGGCGTCTGTGCTCGGGTCCAAAGCTCGTCCCACTCCCGTCGCTCCGGTCCGAAACGTGACGGGAAGTTTCTGCGAAGGGCACGCCGGCGAAACGACGATGAGGAAGCCAAAAAACTAAACTTGGAAGCGGAAAGTACTACGGCGAAGAGCGATATGCACTATAACGTAGAGCAAGTCTAACTTACCTCATCCTCTGCCAAAATGTCATCTAAATCATAATAGCTGCTCATGTCATCAGGAAAGGGACGGCGGACAGCGAATTAAACCACGTGGCAGCTCGCTCTCGTACCGCCCATGCCCTGGTGTCTAGCCCTAAGAACGAGATGCTGAAAAGGAGGCCAGAAGGCGGATAGTACCGCGGCAATCTATATCACCGACCGACGTCGTACTAATCCCCGACCGTGTGAGTTTTGGGCCTGACGACAAGCTACACTACGCGCGAGCTGCGGCGCAATCAAGGGTGGCAGAACGCTACTAGAGGCGAGCTGAACGTCACTCGGCGGGAATTGCAGTCTAGTCTTCTATGCTCGTTTCAGCACTGACACTGTGGGGAGAGGGCTGTTCGAAAAGATCGAGAGAAGCGCGAGAAACGAGAAGCAGCGAAGGGAGCAGCAGCGGCATCGAGATAGCTGAGGGGGAACGGGAGGCGCGAAAGGAGAACTCAAGGTCAAGGGGTGGCAACTTGGCAAGGCCAGGCAGTGAAGCAAGCAAGGAGAGCTCGAGAGAGAATCGGTCGGGCGATTGGCACCTCGGTGTCATCCGCTGGGGTGGGTTGATCGGCTCGCTTATACCACGCGGGTGCACAATTTTGGGAATTCAAACTGCATCAACCAATTATCCGCGTTATAATGCAGAAGGGACTCCAAATTCAAGTTTGCAGGGTTGGAAATGAATAGTCATGGTAAACGCGTAGCACTTACAAACAAAAATGTTAAACTCGGTTGTATGTTCTGACGCAGTCGTCGTTGACGGGTACAAGATTTCCCACTTTTCAATCTACTCCAGGCATCCAACCTAGTCCCTTTCCTACCGAACACTTTTACGACCGTCCCTTATTTTATACCGCAGAACTCCCATTCGCGCACCAAGGCGCACCACGCAAGGCGCGATTCATTGAGGTGCAATGGTGATACGTCTTAGAGGTTCGCGTAATCTCCGGCAGCGACTTTTATACGCGACATTATCGGGACGCGCTATTAGAATTGACGATATCCGTGCAGAGGCGGAGAGCCCTGGTTTAACGGAGCACGAAGCGTCGCTTCTCAGACTGCTCGAGAAGATTTCAAATGGATGCGTGGTGGAAATAAACGAGACAGGTTAGCCCGCCGGGTTCAGGGTTGCGGGCTTCGGGTTTATGTCGAGGTCATCTCGGTAAGATCTGGGTTTGAGATTGCGGGCCTGTTTTCCCCTTCGTGTCCTCGTGCCATTGATTTTCCCATTTTTCCTCGTTATAATGCTCAGCCCGGTGTCCTTCAAGTTCGATTTGATCCGTTTTCATCGTCTCGTTCGCGCCAGGCGTTGCGACATTCCCTGGTATACACCCCTCTTCTCGTTTGTGCACCTCTCGTTACAGGAACGAAGCTGAGATACCGTCCCGGCGTGCTGTCCGGCGGTCGCAATCTGACGCATGACTGCGGCACGTCGCGCGCCATAGGGTACTTCCTGCAACCCCTCTTCGTGCTGGGGCTATTCGGCAAAAAACCCCTTCACATCACGCTCAAAGGTACGACCTGGATAGCATCGCTCGGCCGACTCGTACCTCTATCTCGCCCTCCCTCGCCTCCCCTCCACGCCTCCCTCCTCTCCCCCCCACCCTCCCCCCTCCCCCCAAACCCCTTCCCCTCGCCTCCCCTCCCCCCCACGCCACACACGCCTCCCTTGCTCTCTCTATATCTCTTTCTCTCACGCACTCAATCTTCCACTCCCTTTCCCAACCGATACTCACACACACACGCACTCCCCCTCCGTTCCCTTTCCCAACCCCCAACCCCACCCACCCACACACCAACACCCATCAACACCCACCCACGCCGCACCGCGCCCACCGCCAGGAGTAACGAATGACGATCGCGATCCCAGCATCGATACGCTACGGACCGCCACGCTGCCCGTGCTGAAGCGCTTCGGGGTGGATATGGGGGAGGTGGAACTGAAGCTAATACGACGAGGCGCGCCGCCCCTGGGCGGAGGCGAGGTGATGCTGCGACTGCCGATAGTGAAACAGCTAGAGGTGAGGGGAAGTGGAAACAGGGGTTGAGGGTGGTTCTGGGTGGGTGGATATGGGGGAGGTGGTTTGATGGGCAAGGGGGATGAGAGAGGCGAAACACCCGGCGAGTGGTGTGGGGCGACCAAGGACTGGTAGAGAAGGTGCAAGGCCCCCCGCCCTCCTCTCTCTCCCCCCGCTTCCTCCTCCACCCCTCCGTCTCCGAGCTCAATCCCCCCTTCCCTTCCTTCGCCCCCCCCCCTTTCTTCCCTGCTCCCCCTCTCCTCTTGTGAACTGCCCCAGCCAGTGGTGTGGGACGACGAGGGCCTGGTGAAGCGGGTGCGAGGAGTGGCGTTCACGACACGTGTGGCGCCGCAGGTGGCCAACCGCATGGTGGACGCAGCCCGGGGGGTGCTCAACCGCCTGCTGCCCGATGTCTTCATCTTCACGGACCATTTTTCAGGGGCAGACTCGGGCAGGTGGGAAAATCTCCCGTGTGCATGTATGGCAGGATTTTCTTGGACCAGAGCTTCTCTCCACTTCCCTGCTTCCTTCCTTTTTTACTCTGTTGTTTCTCACCTACGCCCCCCTTCCCCCAACCCCACCTCACTCCTCCTCCCCCTTCATCTCACCTTCCCCTGCCCCCCAACCCCTCAGGTCGCCTGGGTTTGGCATTTCCTTGGTCGCTGAGACGACGTCGGGGTGTTTACTGAGTGCAGAGCGGGCGATAGCCAGGTGCAGGGGGGAGCACGAGGGGCCGGGGGGGGGAGCGGGGAGAGGGGGAAGAGGAGGGGGAGGGGTGCAGGGGGAGGAGGTGCCGGAGGATCTGGGGTTGCAAGCGGCGCAGATGCTGCTGCACGAAGTGAAGCAAGGGGGTGTTGTGGATGGCAGCCAACAGGTGAGGGAGGGCAGGGAAAGGGGGGCAGGGTGTCGTGTGTGGAGATTTTGCTTGTGGTGGAAGAGATGGATGGGTGTGCTGCACGACAATCTGGGCCATGCCACCACTCATGGTGGATGCCCACACATGCATGCACTGCCGATACATCATGAGTGCCATTGCACTGTAGCACGCCCCACATGAGCATCCGCATCCATGGTTTCTGCTCCCTGTGTCTGAGCCATTGCAGCATTCACATGGCTTACTGTCCCATGGGCCATGGGTCCAGAGCCCTCATGACTGGTGCATGGGTCAGAACCATGGTGGGATGGTGGCGGTGTTTTCCAGCCCTCAGCCAGACCCATGGCTGATGTGCCTCAACTCGTGCCGTACAGTCACATGCCACACACACACACTTCATACAGTCACATGTCACACACACATGTCATACAGTCCCATGCCACACACACACATGTCATACAGTCACATGCCACACACACACATGTCATACAGTCACATGCCACACACACACACGTCATACATTCACATGCCACACACACACGTCATACAGTCACATGCCACACACACACGTGTCATGCAGTCATATGCCGCATACTTACATTCTTTTGTCCTGTTGATGTGGCCCCCACATCTCCCCTTCCCCGCTCCCTCCGACTCTTCCTTCTTGCCAACCCACAGGCCTTTGTCTTGCTGATGTGCGCTCTGTGCCCTGAGGAGTTATCTCGAGTGCGGGTGGGCCCCCTCACACCGCATGCAGTGGATGCTCTGAGGGACATAAAGGAGATCCTCGGTGTGCAGTTTGACATCCGGCCAGATGAAAGCACCGGCACTGTCTTCCTCTCCTGCATAGGCTCGGGCTACAGGAACCTTGCCAAGCCTGTGACTTGACACGAAGTACCTGTACTGGCACTTGAAGTGAAATATGTTTAACAGAGGAAATGAAGCATTAATGCAGTGCTCTGTTTGGCCTCCTCTCCCCACCATGTATGGAACACCAGTTGTATCAGCACCAGCTACAGTATCAGCACCAGTTGTATCAGCACCAGCTACAGTATCAGCACCAGCAATCAGCACCGGCACCGTCTTCCTCTCCTGCATAGGCTCGGGCTACAGGAACCTTGCCAAACCCGTGACTCGATTCGATGTACTGCCAGACAGTCTGCCACCTGTCGTTTGTGAAGTTTTTGTACCGCTGGGCTCGGATGCAGCTATGTTGGTCTCCATGTGAAGTCAGTGCCGGTGCAGCACCAGCTACCAGCACCAGCTACCAGCACCAGCTACCAGCACCAGCTACCAGCACCAGCTACCAGCACCAGCTACCAGCACCAGCTACCAGCACCAGCTACCAGCACCAGCTACCAGCACCAGCTACCAGCACCAGCTACCAGCACCAGCTACCAGCACCAGCTACCAGCACCAGCTACCAGCACCAGCTACCAGCACCAGCTACCAGCACCAGCTACCAGCACCAGGCAGGCACCCAAACCGGTCACGCTACCATCTGTGACCTGCACAAAAGAATGTCACCATAACTGTGATTCGCCTTCGCAGAACAACCTTCACACTCCAACAGGACGTGGAAAAATACTTTCTGTGTCGACTCAAAATACCACACCACAAGGCCGAACGGGGCCTCCCACCTAACCCCCCACCCCCCTTCCTCCCTTCCTCTTCCCTCCTTTTTCCCCCTCTCCCTCCCTGGCTCAAGAGATGGCCATTTCCTCCTCGTCAAACTCTAAGAAGGCTGTCAGGATGTGCTTGCGAATCGTGAACTGGTCGATCTTGGCCGGCGGCAGGGGCTGCACGGAGCACAAGAGGGGAGCGTGGAGCAAGAAGGGTATGATTCAACGGGTCATGCAGTGAGGGTTCTTGCGAATCGTGAACTGGCTGATCTTGGACGGTGGCGGTGGCTGCAGAAAGCAACGTGTGGGGGGTCGAAATCGAAGGACGGAAGAAGAGGGATGGGGGAGTGTGGAGCAATACGCATGTGATGATGGGGGAGCGGTGATGGGGGAGCGGTGATGGGGGAGCGGTGATGGGGGAGCGGTGATGGGGGTGCAAGCAGCAGGTGAGACGGTGAATGGTGCAGTCATCATGGTGAGTGAGTGCCCCAAGCAGGTCGTCACGAGGCTTTCGGGGAGTCACTAGAAGGGTCAGAGGACGAAGAACTTGAGTAGCACGAAAGAGAAGCGTACCAAGCTGGTGAATACAAACTTACCCAAAATTGTCAGTACTGGTGACTGCCCCAAGCTGAGGTCAGGAGGTTTTTGGGGAGTCACTAGAATTAGGGTCAGTGGGAGAAGAACTTCAGTGGCACGAAAGAGAAGCGTGTCGTTTTGAGCACATAAGAGAAGCTTACCATTTTGAGCACATAAGAGAAGCTTACAGTTTTTAGCATCCTCTCGACTCTCGCATATTCATCCGCCAGGTATCTCTCATTGCTGTCGATGCTGTCGACGATCTTCAGGTATATCTGCGCGTAGCTGTGGGGGAGGAAGAGAGAAGGGGGAGAGGAAGAGAGGAAGGCAAGTAGGAAGTTGAGGCCCTGTCAGTGAAGAAAGTCAGTGAAGGTGCTAATGGGGGCGGCTGCTGCTGCTGCCGGTGCTGCACTCCAGCCAATAGACTTCAACTCCCTCCCAGCAGGCGGAAGGCGAAAGCAGCGGGGAAACGGTTGGGATTTGGGGCTAGCGTGTCAGCTGGGGCACTTACGGGTCCTTCTTGGCGTCGAGGAAGTCGATGGTGTTTTTCATCTGCGTCTTCAGCTTCTCCCGCTCCTCCTTTGACGCCAGGGCGTACTTCACTGCGATCTTGTCCAGATCCTTCATGCGCCCCACCTGCACCCCACACCACATGCACCAACCACGCAGCAGGGCGGGAAGGCAGCAGGGCGGCAAGGCAGCAGGGCGGCAAGGCAGCAGGGCGGCAAGGCAGCAGGGCGGCAAGGCAGCAGGGCAGCAAGGCAGCAGGGCGGCAAGGCAGCAGGGCAGCAAGGCAGCAGGGCGGCAAGGCAGCAGGGCAGCAAGGCAGCAGGGCGGCAAGGCAGCAGGGCAGCAAGGCAGCAGGGCGGCAAGGCAGCAGGGCGGCAAGGCAGCAGGGCGGCAAGGCAGCAGGGCAGCAAGGCAGCAGGGCGGCAAGGCAGCAGGGCAGCAAGGCAGCAGGGCGGCAAGGCAGCAGGGCAGCAAGGCAGCAGGGCGGCAAGGCAGCAGGGCAGCAAGGCAGCAGGGCGGCAAGGCAGCAAGGGCGACAAGGCAGCAGGGCGACAAGGCAGCAAGGGAGCAAAGCAGTAAGAAGCAAAGGAGGGGAGTATGCGGTGTTGGGAACCGCTTCTCCCTCTCCTCCTTTGCGGCCAGGGCGTACTTCACTGCGATCTTGTCCAGGTCCTTCATGCAGCAACCAGGCAGCAGGGCGGCAAGGCAGCAAAACGCAGCAGAGGGGAGTGCGAGTTTAGACAGCATGCTAGCACGAGGAATACCTTCAAGCTGGCACGCATACCCTTCAAGCCTCCAACAACTGACATACATCCGCAGCAGCATCCCCATAGGCCCGCCAACCCACCATCATGGCGTTCACAAAATCCATCAGCGGCTGCAGTTACCTCTCAGGTTGACCCGCGAGTCATTCCCACACAAGCAACACACGCCTCACTCACGCATCCCCATCAGCACGCCATACCAACCAGCACGCCACAACCAACCCACATCGTCGTCCAGCAGCCCGCCCTTCTTGCGCATGGTGTTGGTCATGCAGTTCACAAAGCTGCAGGTCATTTCTGAGTGAACCCATTTACTCAGCACTCGTAAGTCATTCTCACACAAGCAGCACAGCATGCAACCCCCCCAAGCTGCCAGCCCAGCAACATCGTCGTCCAGCAGCCCGCCCTTGGTGCGCATGGTGTTGGCCATGGCGTAACGGCGTTCACAAAGTCAACCACCAGCTGCAGGTCACCCTTGACTTTGCCTCACTAGTCATTACTCATTCTCACACAAGCAGCACAGCATGCAACCGCCTCAAGCTGCCAGCCCAGCAACTCACACCATCGTCCAGCAGCCTGCCCTTGGTGCGCATGGTGTTGGCCATGGCGTTCACAAATTCAACCACCAGCTGCAGGTCACCCTTGACTTTGCCTCACTAGTCATTACTCATTCTCACACAAGCAGCACAGCATGCAACCCCCTCAAGCTGCTAGCCCAGCAACTCACATCGTCGTCCAGCAGCCCGCCCTTGGTGCGCATGGTGTTGGCCATGGCGTTCACAAAGTTGATCAGCGGCTGCAGGTCGCGTGACGACTTGTACGGCACGCCCTTCTTGTTGTTCTTGGGGTACCACCGCAGCTCGGGGTACCCCTTGATCTTGTACCTGGAGATAGTCGGGGGAACGAGCACACACCAGGGGAGAACAACAGTCATAATTCGCATGCCCCGCCTCACAACAACACACCCCTTCTTGTTGCTCTCTGCGTACCACCGCAGCTCTGAACACCCCTTGATCTTGTACCTGGTGATATGGGAGTGGGGGACAAACACAATAGAGTGGATTGATTGAGGCACCTTGAGTCCTGACGCCCTTCTTGTAGTTCTTTGGGTACCACCACAGCTCTGGGTACCCCTTGATCTTGTACCTGGCGATAATCAGGGGGATCAGGAGAAAATGGGGGAGGTTGGAGAGAGAAGCGGGGGGGGGATGTGGGGGGAGGGGAAATGGAGAGGAACGAGAGGGAAGTGAAGGGACAAGGAGGCAGCGACAGTAGTCATTGCGGAACACCTCTCGACTGAGCCCTTGTGCTAGTCGGCATCAAACTTGGCGATCACGAACGATCTCCCCCGCTCGTACTGAAACGAGTGTTGAGGCGTCTTAAAAGTCGATTGCTTTACACATAAAGATAGGCAGAACAGGGCCGTGCGTTCTTACTTTTCCACGGAGCCCTTGTGCTTGTCGGCATCGTACTTGGCGATCACAATGTCCGGCTCATACTGAAACGTCTCTGCCAGGACCTCGTAGTCCTGTGAAGGAATGGGAACAGGGGTGAAAAACTTAGAGGTTTCGGAAGGGGGAAGGAGGAAAAGCGAACGTGGTTGGGGCTCTGCCAAGAAAGAACAGCAGAGGTGAAAGCGTTTTCAGGGAGCAAAGCAGTGTGTGGATGGTTTTGTGTTCAAGTGCAAGATTGAAGGAGAGGGAGAAGTAGTGGCGGAAAAGGAGTGGGAGTAAAAGGAGTGGGAGTAAAAGGAGTGAAAAGGACTTACGGGAGCAAGGGACTTGCACATGCCGCACCTGCCATGAGCGGTTGTAATGCCATGAGGCGGGTGCAATGAGTGAGCACAAGCAGTGAAACCTTTTGAAATTTCCCAAAATACGCCTACAGGCTACAACACGATAGCTGCAATGGAGGAGAAGGGGCGAGGGAAAGGGAGCGGAAACCGGATGGGAAAAAGAGGAGAGTTTCACCAGGGGACATAGAAACTCTCTTCCGTTTCCCATCTGCTTTCCCCTTCCTTTTCCACGTCCTGCTTGCGAAGCGGATGGGAAAAGGAAGAAAGAGTTTCACCAGGGGGCGTAGAACTCGAGCAGGACGTGCTTGGTCTTGTCCTTGACGATCTCTGTGAAGTTGTCCGGCGTCACCTCCACAACGAATGATTTCTGCCCTGCAGGCAACGTCGCCTTGCTTCCTGCACCAATCAACACAGATGGTTGACATGGCAGGCAAAGGAAAGCAGAAGCCACGCATGGGGTCAGTCAGGCGTTACATCAATTTGGAGGCTGGGTGGAAATAATCTCCTGCATTGCGTGAAACTCTGTTGTCTGCAGGCGCCATGTCAGCATGGCCTCCATCCATGATCTGATGGGCCTGCCACGTCAGCATGGATGGTTCAATGATGTGATCAGACTTACCTGACTTCTCATTGACGAATTCCAGCAGCTTTTCTGCCTCACGGTCGCCAGTATATCTGCACGTCACGAGGAGGCACTGTTAAGTGAATGCACACAGAAACCGGGATGACAACACTCAAAAAAAAAAAAAAAAAAAAAAAAAAAACACACACACACACACACTACAAAAAACAGCGGGGGGGGGGGAGGGTGAGGGGGGGAACAGGCAATGAATTGTCGCTTACGTTTCTGGGTTGAGTGAGTTGCGTGGGAACCATTTGAGCGTGGGGTAGCCGGTGACGCCATACTTCGAGCAGAGCTCCTTGTGTGCATCGCAGTCCACCTGCGGTGATACAGGCGATTACTCGAGCAGCGGAGCATGGGTTACGTGTGCGCCAAAATTGGATAAATTGTGCACCATACACAGGGAAGCACGCAATGATGAGAGTAAGTGCCTGTGCAATGTTAACGTGCAACGTTTGTAAGTATGTGAAACGTTAGACGTATATCAGCATGCCTACCTGTGCGATGTGAACGAAAATCAGCATGCATACCTGTGCGATGTGAACGTATATCGACCCCCTAAAAGCAGCTGCGAGCCTCTCCCACTCGGGTGCAAGTCGCTTGCAATGCCCGCACCTACATCAGCATAGAAGTCACCGACGGCTTTAAAGACCTTGAGTGCACTCATAGGTCGATCGCACTAACCATACTTCAGAAAAGGTTAAATACTGCTCAGAAGGACATAAATTAAGAGAATGACTGACGGCTTGTTGGAAACCGAAAACCCACCATGGAGTGTAAAACTAGACGAAAATGTAGGCGTCCTTGCCCACGTCTATGGTGAATTTGTCAGGAGTGACGTTTGAGTCGACTGAAAACCCACCATGGAGTGTAAAACTTGACGAAGATGTAGGTGTCCTGGCCCACGTCCACGTTGAAGTTGTCAGGAGTGAGGTCGACTACATCCCGAGCGGACGCGGTCAACGCGAACAGTCCCAGGAAAATAACAGCCGATCCAACTAGAACGTCTAATTTCCGCATCGTAGCGATAATCGCCGTGGCTTTTCACGCTACGGAAAGTACAGCCACGGTTGTTAGGAGGCTTGTGATGCTTGAAAGTGTGAGGTTCCAGTACCTGTCATCTGCTGTGGTCTGGAATTTTGGGCCAGGATTTTTTAGGGCCAAACCAAACGCCCCTGTCAAAGCAGTTGGTGGCAGGGAAGCATCCCGATCGGGTAACCAGTCCCAGCGACTTGCTCGTTCGCTCTGGTTGAGATGTCTGGCAGGTGATGGCAAAAATTGATACGGAAGGCAACAGAAAGCGGGTCAACGAGAAGGGTGGAAATTCCAGAAGGGAGCTCGCCATCCCCGACTTTGACTTCCCCGTTCTACCTAAAGCCGGGTAAGCTCAGTAAATTTATAACTTCTGTGAAACTGTTGTTGAACCAGCAAGCAACCTAAAAGGGAAAATTACTGCCGCGGACTGTCCGCAAATCTTTTCATACTTTCGTGGACAACCCCTACTTTCATGGACACCACATCAACATTTCGCTTCTCCCGTGGACTCCGTCCCTACTTTCATGGACATCCGCCTTACTTCCATGGACAAGGTCAAAATCGCAGGAAATAGGCGAAAACTCAACTGTACAAAACATGACGGGCGCTGAAAAAAAAAACAGCAGCTCAGCATGCGTCGCAAAGAGTCGCGCACTACAGTACCCCAAACCTAATCCGAAACAGAGTCTCCCCGAAATTGGGAACATGACTTTCACGCCAGGTTTTCGTTTGGTGCGTTTGGCACAAAAAGTCCTGTGATGTGTGATTCGGCAGGCAGTACCCACGCGTTTCTACGTAACTGTACTTCAGAAGGAAAAATCGGTACGCTCTGTAAATTTGTCTACCAGTTCAAACTAGTGCTGCTGTTGTTGTTTACATCATATTCGCAAAAGGAAAGGTTTCGTTCTCATGATAAATGTTTTTGGAAAATTTCCCTGCATAACTTCCAAAATATATTATGTTTCTTAACAAGGCTCTAAATAAAAATGCTTCTTTGAAATATGATTCTGATTCTGTTTTGGTTTGGGTTTGGGGCACTGTAGTGCGCGACTCTTTGCGACGCACGCTAAGCCGCTGTTTTATTTTTTCAGCGCCCGTCATTTTTTGTACAGTTGAGTTTTCGCCTATTTCCTGCGATTTCGACCTTGTCCATGGAAGTAAGGCGGATGTCCATGAAAGTAGGGACGGAGTCCACGGGAGAAGCGAAAGGTTGATGTGGTGTCCATGAAAGTAGGGGCTGTCCACATAAGTATGAAAAGATTTGCGGACAGTCCGCGGCAGTAATTTTCCCAACCTAAAAGCTCAATACAGTCAGCGAGGACGAGTGAGAGACTGCTTGTTGCTTGGGAATATCGTGTCAGTCAAGCACAGTCAGATCCAAAGGACACCATCAATATGTATGTGATTGCTGTGCCCATTCACACATTCAATCCACTCACGCATGCGCTTCTGAGTTCTCGCCACTTAGATCCAGACTGTGATAGGCTTTTGCCACGCTTTAGCACTTGGGAGCCGCTACAACGAATCTATCTGTGTGGCGCTTCCGGTAACTCGTAGGTAGACCAGAGCATGCAGAACGTTACTGCTGACATGGGCTGATGACAGCGAGCGAGCGTCGATCGCACGATGTCACATCACTCGTTTCGCACGGCCGTGTCCGTGGGACGGTTGAGACTGCTGGCGATATCGCTCATAGTCGTCGCCGTGTCGCTGACCTTCCTCCTTCAGGTGACCCTCCATCAGGTGACCCTCCATCAGGTGGCCCTCCATCAGGTGACCCTCCATCAGGTGACCCTCCTCCATCAGGTGACCCTCCATCGTTCCTACAATGCCTTGCCTTGGCCAGTCGCCGCCCTCTCAGCCGTACCTCCCGCACCACGCCCTCTTGTTATTCACCTTCTCTGCCGCCATACCTGCCGCCATACCTGCCGCCGCTTTCTTGATATGGACGCTCCTCGTGCCCGCTCAACCCGCTCAACCCGCTCAACCCGGGTCCCCACGTCCCCGTGGCAGAGCGTGTATGTGGAGAACCTCTTCATCCCAGACCGAGGTCAGACGAAAGCAGACCAAGGTACGCGCTGCTGGGTATTCTCTCCCATGCTTATTCCCCGTCCTCGCTGCTCTCGTCGGCTCTCAGTCTTCCCATTTCGGGTATTCTCATCCCCGTCGCCCACCATCATCACCCATGCTCGCCCCCCATCACCCGTCTCCCCACCCATCCCCAGCGCCCATCACTGTGGTCGTCCTCGACAGCAGCCAGGCCTCCGAGGCGCCCTTCCCCTTCCTCTCCGCCTTCTCCTCCTCCTTCCAGAAGCCCACGTGGCGCTCCCGCCCAATCACCGCGCAGCAGCAGCAGCAGCGGCACTACCACGAGCAGCAGCAGCAGGGGCGGTGGCGATCCGAGGCCCCGGGCGTCTTTGACATTGTAGCGCATGGCGCTGTGGGGGATGCAGTGACGGACGATTCAGATGCGCTGACAGCAGCTATGCATGCGGCGTGCGGGCATGCGGTGGAGCGGGGAGTGGTGGCGACGGTGCTCGTGCCGTGGGGTGGCTGCTACGCCGTGCAGCCCATCACGATGCAGGGGCCATGTGGGCCTGGCATGAAACTCCAGGTAGGGGGGTTGCAGGTAGAAATATGGTCTGCACGTGAAGGGATTGGCTGCACGTGAAGGGTTGACCCCTCAGCCTGCCACTTTCCCGGCTACACCAGCACATACTTCCTCTACACCAGCGGCTTCCCTCATTTGCCCCCTCCATTCCCTTCCCCCTCCCAAACCATCTATCCACGCCTTTCAGATTGACGGTGTTCTGGTTGGCCCCTCGGACCCCGCGGCCTACCCCTTCCCCGACTACACCAGCACCTACTTCCCCTACACCAGCGGCTTTCTCTCCTTCAAAAACTTCTCCGGCCTCGTGATCTCAGGCGGGGGCAGAATCGAGGGGCAGGGGTGGGAGTTCTGGAGCGCCTTCAGGAACTACACTCTGCAGAAGACCATCCCCATCAGACCGTTTGCGATCCGGCTGATGCACTGCAACAACACGAGGGTTGAAGGGATCTCTATTTGGTGCGGCTGGAGTTGCTTTTTGGATGCAGTTGGGTGATTGGTCTTGGTGGTCTTGGTGGTCTTGGTGGTCTTGGTGGTCTTGGTGGTCTTGAGTTCTTCTGGTCAGGGGGATAGGATGGAATCAAGTGCGCTGGTTTGGAAGCAATGGCTCTCTATCCCCCGTGCATCATCCCAGGAACTCTCCCATGTACCATCTCTTCGCGTATGCATGCGATGGGCTGCACGTACGGCGGTACAAGACCAACTCGCCCAGCAGGAGTCCTAACACGGACAGCCTCAAGTTGGTGGGAATCAAGAACGCTCTCATCGAAGATTGCTTTCTGCATGGAGGTCAGGAAACTTTCAGAATGTTTCACATGTCATGATGACCGTCATGCTTCCTGCTGTCATGATAACTGTTGTCTCCTGTGTGACGATAGCTGTTGTCATTGCTGCCCACTTGGTGTGTGTACAGGTGATGATGATGTGTCGGTTGTGGCAGTAGGAGAGCTGGTGGCGTGCAACATTACTGTGAGGAATCTGGAAGCCACAGCAGGTCACGGGATAAGGTCAGTCTTTGCCACACATGCGAGCAATTCATCATGCCTTTCCTTACACTGATTCAAGTCATTACTGTATTCTGGAATCGTTGTCCTTTCCATCAATTTCTCTGGGACTCATTTCCAGTTACGCACCAGTAGGTGCCTTGTTGACCCCAATGATGCTGTGTGTTTGCTGCAGCATCGGGAGTGTTGGATGGGACGGCAATATTGGGTGCGTGGCTAAGGTGCGGGTGATAAACGTGACGCTCATCAACCTCACCAATGGCATCCGCATCAAGACATGGCAAGGAGGCCTTGGGGTTGTCAGGGACGTTCTGTATGAGAACATTCACATGAAGAACACCAGCAAGGCCATCATGCTGAATCAGGTTCGTGCAATATTCAGCTGAAACGTTTCCACGATATCGTCAATCGTTCCTGGTACGATGCAGCTCTTATGCTTCTCGTCAAACGTTTCCACGATATCGTCAATCGTTTTCTCATGTGCAGTTCTATTGTGACAAGCACCAGAACTGGACTTGTGGTGGCCATGTCAACAATGTGGCGTTGCACAACATCTGGTACAGGAACATATCAGCAGTCGTCCGTGACAAGTATGGTATCTTCATGCACTGCAGCGATACTGTGCCCTGCACAGGCATTCACCTTCAGCAGGTCAACGTCCAGTCGCAGTATCCCGCCAGGGTGCTTACACCTGTCTTCGAGAATGTGCTGGTTAGTGCAACTGATGACGTGTGGCCTGCACCTGTGGGGTCAAGTTTTGATCAATGGGGGATGGCATTCCCAACATCAGAACAGGCTGCCTTGATCCAGAATGTGTCGTCTTACTGTAACCCATGCACGTGATCCTGGCTAGGAAAAGGCTTCGTGTAGCTCTGCTGGAACTTGGAACCAAGATGTTGTCTTCAGAAACTGACACGTCCCTTCAGCCTAGAACAGGAAATGTGGTAGTCGAAGATGTACAAAACAAGGGGAAAGCTCTGTAACCTGGAAAGCAACGCTCAGCGCCAGTCATGCTTGTCCTCCATGTGCTGCCAGCACGAATTCTCAGTCCTGAATGTCCGATGACACTCGTCGCACTTGAAGACAAAAGGATGTGATGCGTCCTCATGATTGTGAAGTTGATCCGAATTCCGGAAGGCTTGTCCACAGATCTCACACGTCAAGACAGGAGCGTGATTCTCCAGCTCGTGCTGTCCAGCGGCTTTCGACGACGGGAATATCCAGTTGCAGAACCTGCACCTGACATTGATCGGGTGAAAATCATTTTCGTGCTGCTCGGCAGCCTCCACAGAAAAAAAAATCATGTTGCAAATCCGGCATGGCACCCTGCGCCAGTGAACCATCCGTTCGTGATCTATCACGGCTTGAGTAGATGCAAATACTTTGGTGCAGATGCGGCAGCAAGCTTGTCGCGGATGCTTCGCATTCTGGTGAGCTTGAAGGCCTTGAGTGGTTTCGAATTGTCGGTCACAAAAGCAGCAAGGATAGGACGGGAAGTGCTCCTCACTTTCATGGTTGCGAGCATCATCCTCAGAATCGAAAGTGCCACTACAATATCGACAGTCGACAAGCGGCATCCTTGTGTTTCAGGAATGGTGGATTTGTGGCCTCCTGGTTCTGAACTGTACTACCTAGGTACAATTGCTCTACGTGTGTGAGGCAACACATGGAAACCACAAACCCGAGCATAGAGCCTGTGATCAGGGACACGTGCGACAACAAAAATTCATGCCCTCAAATAGCGATTCGCTATTCGTTACGAACATGGATCAGTTTAAATAACTGATATTTCAGAAGGGACGATAAGGGATGACACATTACAGAACCAGCTGAGTCTCGTCTAGGAGAATCCGTGCCGCAAAAATACTTGAAACGAGCAGAGACGTCTCAGCTACGTATTCCTCCATTGCAACTGATAGTGCACTCGCCTGGCTACCCCTCCCAGAGTCAATGTGACTGCTGCGAACATGGTTGTTGGCTTCGATTGGTTGGTGGGCGCTCATCATATTGAGTTGTACGATGCACAACAGCTGGTAACAACACAGATGACCAGAGGTAAGCATTAAAAGGGGGGGAGGAAAGGCAAACAAAATCAGGGGAGGCAACATGCCATCAGATTGATGGGTGCTCGCGGCAAGGGTGTAGAATTCACAACTGGCACAAGCCTCAGTGAACAAATCTTTCTGACCTGAGACCAGTGATGAATGATGAAGGGCTTGTGATTGGCAACTCACCTAGCGGGAGGTCTGCAATGAATCGTGACGGCAGCATTGGCTGGCCAGCAGCAGACATTACATGTGTCAGCTGGAGGGATGGGGAGAACGAGGAAGAACGAGGAACATGGAGTCCACTTAGAAGACCAGCTAAAAATTGGGAAAATGAAATAAGAGGACTCGAGGGGATTCATTGCATGGCACAGTCGTGTATGGTGGGGGGCAGAACGTCACTCCAGCTTAAAGAAGTGGCATGGGAAAAATGCTGGAATGCAAACGCACCATGAGATGCTGGCGTGCTCTGGTGAGAGCCACATACATGAGGCGCCTCTGGTCAGATGAAGAGAAGAGCATTCAAAGAACAGAAGAGCATGTGCAGAGGAGAACACATGCACAGACGACAGAGAAGCACTTGCACGGGTTAGCACAGGCAGAGATACATTAAAACGAAAAGAAAAACGCATGCACATACTCTCAACCCTCATTTGTCAAATCGCTTTCCTTCTTTCCCACACACCCCATGCCCTACTGTGGCCCCCTCTCCCCTCTCTCACACACTCCAACAAGCACAACCCCCTCCGTTCTTCCTTAAGATGAGCATCATCGTCCAGCGGCATGGCAGGCAGAGGAGGCAGGGTGCTTTGAGGCGACTCAGACAAACATTCTCTCACTCGCTCTTTCTAGCTCTCCCAACCCACCTCTTCCTCCAGGTGGCCGTCATAGTCCGGGGGCATGGCAGGCAGCGGAGCCAGGGACCGCGGCCCAAGCTCACGCCCAGAACCCTCTCTTCCTGCCACTGCCCTTCCTGCCACAGATGCACCGGACTGGAATAACCCGCCCTGTGCTGCTGCTGCTGGTCCTGGGGATGCTCCGTTTGCAACATTCAGCAGTGGGAGCTGAGGCGTCTGAGTGGATTGGGGCGTGGGTGGGTAGTTCGTGGTCGTGGTGGCAGGGGGCTGTGTGGCTCTACTGAAGTCTACCAGCGGGAGCACGCCCTCGTTCGCCCTCACTACAATCACAGCCTGCCACTCCAACCCCTTGGCCTGGTGTATCGTGCTCAGCACCACCCCCCCACTGTCCTGCTCACTGTCACCGGCCCCACTGCCCCCACTGCCCTGCCCTTTCCCTTCGCTCCCCCTCCCTGCCCGCCTTCCCCCACGGCCCCCCGCACCCTCTCTCACACCAGCACCGTCCCCACCTCCCACTCCCTCCTCTACACCCACCCCGAGCTCCCTCTCATGCATTCGCTCCATCACCCTGTCTACAAACTGCACTATCACCTCCCGCTCCTCTCTCTCTTCCTCCCTTTCATCAACGTCAGAATCAGCACCATAGTCAGCATCATTGCCATCACCGTTGCCATCACCACGATCACCATTGCCAGCACCAGCAGCGGCTGTCTGGCGCCAGTGCGGCCCCTCCCCTTCCCTCCCCATCCGCCTTTCCGACGGCCTCGCAGGGCTAGTCTCTGATGCATTTGACCATCGCGCAAATCCCACTCCGTGTGCAATTCCCACCCCGCCCACCACGCCCACTACTCCTTCACGCTGCCGCAGCAGGTCGGCATAGCTAGGCCTTTTGCTTTTTTGCCTGCTCTCGCTGTTTCCTCCCGGACTGAGATACTGGCTAGGACTACCCCCCTCTTGCCTGCCCTCTCTAACAGCGGTGGTGCAAGCTGGAGGTGGGAGCCCGCTGCCTTGATTTGCCCTGTTCCCGCTGTTGCTACTGCAGCTGCTGCTGCTGGCAGGAACACGCCCAGACGCCATTCCTACTGCTCCTGGTGCTTCCGGCGCTACTATCCTTGGTGCTGCCGCAACACTCGCTTGTTGAGCTTGCCTCGCTTGCCTCCTCTCCCTGTCGAAAGCAGCAGCCTCTAGCAGTAGCGCCTTCACCCCTGCAAACATCGCTGCATCCAACGCACCTCCATTCCTCCCCTGCCCCCCCATCCCACGCCCGCCTCCCCACCCTCCACCACCTGTCGCATTCCCCCCCCTCCCTCCGCCAAACACCCCAGCCCCTCTCCCTGCCCATTCTCCTCGCTCTACGCCTCCTACACCCAGTCCCCTACCTCCTCCCCCGTCCCCTCCCTCCCCAAGCACCCCCTGCACCACCACTGCCGCCCCTACTCCCTCCCCGCTCCGCCCCTCCCCACCCCGCACCCCTCTCACGAACCTCAGTGCACACCGCACCAGAGCCTCACACGAAGCCACATCCCCCTGCTCCTCCTCCCCGTTACCCCCTTCGCCGACCAGCAAGGCAGGGAAGCGGGCGGGGGAACCACCCAGACCCATGATACCAGCAGTACTGCCTCTACGCCTGCTTGCAGGGGCAAAGGATGCACCCGCAAAGGATGCAGGGGCAGGAGAGGAGGAGGTGGTCGTCCAGCCAGGGGGCGGAATGCCCAGCAGCCCCTGCAACTCGGAGACGGCTGCTGCCATCTTTCCTATGCCGTCCAGCACCTTGAGGTCGTCTGGGCCGAGCACAGGCGGCCACGCAGGGTCGGAAGGAGGAGGAGGAGGAGCCCCACCATTAGGAGCCCTACCATAACTACCATTAGGGGCACCACCAGTACGAGCAGCACTGATATCTGGATCGTTATGAGCACCGATATGGCCCGCTGCAGCGATGGACGAGAGGGCAGGGCAGCGGGAGATGCCGAGGAGGTGCAGCCGAGTCATGCGGGCGGCAGGGAGGAGGGAGATGCGATGCGGCGCGCACTGTAGCGTGCGCAGACAGATTGCCACCTGGCGGGTGGGCGGCGGGCACACGATGCGCAGGACCTGCCGGCATGCCACGTCATCCGATTCATTCCCAGCCAATCGCAAGAGGGCTAAGATATCATGGAACACCGCTCCCACTGTCCCAGTCCCCCTCCCTCCCCTGGCACCAGCCATGGCTCCGCTACCCCCCTCTGCTATGAAGCCATTCGCAGCCACTGCTACTCCGTCCTCCTCCGATGCTCCCCACTCCCCCCTTCTGCTCCTCCCCCTCCCCCTCCTCCCCCTCCGCCCCCTAGACCCGCCCCTCCCCCTGTTGCTGCAGAAGATACCTTTATCCCATGGCTCTTCAGAAACTGCCGAATGACCTTTCCCACAGCCTGCACGCGGTACAGTATTGCGATTTGATTCGCCGGCACCCCGCATGTTCCCACTAGATGACAGATCTTACCAACCACAGCTGCCGCCTCGCACCGTTCTGTCCGGCACTCGCACAACGAGACAAGCGGGCCCACCGGGGCTGCTGTCACCATCCACTTGACATGCCGCCATTGGTTGTGCGCGATGACGTGGCGGGAAGCCTCCACCACTGAGCCACAGCTTCGGAAGTTCTGGTCGAGGCAGACGGTCCGAGCCTGCGGGTAGGTTCGGAGGAAGCGGCGCAGGTTCGGCAGGCCCATGGCGCCGCGGAAGGAGTAGATCTGCTGGTCGTCGTCCGCCACGAGGGTCAGGGTCGGCGCGGCTGGCAGCGGGCGGCAGAGCAGCAGAAGCAGCTCCATCTGACAGCTGTCAGTGTCCTGAAACTCGTCCACTGGTGTGTGTGGAGGGGGGGTGGGGTTTGGGGGGCAAGGGGGGGGGGAGAGGGGGCCGCTTAGCTTAAAAGCGGCAGAGAAGGAGAAGCAGCTCCATCTGACAGCTGTCAGTGTCCTGAAACTCGTCCACTGGTGTGTGTGCGTGGGGGGTTGGGGGTTGTGTGGGGGGGGAAGGAGGGGGAAGGGTAGGTGACGAGGACGGGGACGGGTGGGTCGGGGGTCATGCAGACGGGAAGAATCAGCTCCAGCTGACATCTGCCAGTGTCCTAAAACTCGTCCACTGTGTGGGGGGGGGGGAGGGGGAGAGAGAGGGGGAGGTGGTATTAATCCAGTTTTGAGGCGTCTCAAAATAACAGCAGAAGAAGCAGCTGCATCTGACAGCTGTCAGTGTCCTGAAACTTGTCCACTGGTGTGTGTGGGGAGGGGCAGGGGGGGTTGAGGGAAGGGAGGGCAAATGAAGTGGGTGATTGGAAGAGAGGGGTGGGCAGGAGGCGAAAGAGCGGGGGAGGGGGGATGGGAGGGTATGCTAGTTTGGTACGCTTGGTATGCTCGGTATGCTCGGTATGCTGGCTTGGTATGCTCGGTATGCTGGCTTGGTATGCGGTGTTAAGAAGGTGGAGGAGGAGGTGAATGATGTAGAGGGGTTATCACAAGAAGATGTATCCATATCACTTTGCTTCCTCCTTTGTGTGGTGCTGTCCCATGCAGGCATCAAGTGCGAGAAGAAGAAGGCGGACGAGGTGGGATATCATGTGGAAACAACGGACCTTTGAAGAGGGATGGGATAACAAAAGTGGAACATTCGAGACGACTCACCAAGCACGTGCGACACCCGCAAGTGGCTCTTGGAAGTAGTGGGCGCGGGCACCCGGCTGCTTCCCGTGCCCGCCCTGCTGCGCATGTAGCTGGACGCCAGTATCTCTGGGTGCGCATGCAGCAGCTTCACAGCCTTTCTGCCAGGCACAACAGCCACAGGCAAGCTAAGGTCGGCACAGGTTTAAGTCGACAGGCACAGCTGGCATAGGTATGGCGATCGTTATGATCACAAGGCAGACAACCGCGGCACAAAAGCTGAGAGACGAAAGGGATGAAGTCGACATCGGTAGGGCGAGTCGGCGACAGAAGTGGGGTGGTTGCAGTGGGGACATGCGCCGATTAGAGCTTGTCCCCGAGAGAACTCACGGGGCGAACTGCGAGAAGTCGATGGCCTTGTTGAGCACCAGGCGCCGCCGGTACTGCTCCCACAGCCACGCAAACAGCCCGCCCTCCTCGTCGCCCTCCCCTCCTCCTCCATCTCCTCCAAATGATATCCGCCTCCTCCTCCTGTGCACGTGACCATGATCCGTAGCAGCAGTATGGCCGCCTGCTGCAGGAGCAGCAGCAGCAGCAGCAGCAGCAGCAGCAGCAGCAGCAGCTGGTACTGGTGCTAGTGTTGCAGCTGACTGGTGCGGTTTTTGAGAGCCTTCAAGCACTTGTGCTTCTGCGTTCTCGACTTCGATCTGACCAAACTCTTGCAGGAAGCGACGGATGATGAAGTGCAGCTGGTGGGCATGCGGTTCAGCGAGGTGAAGTGAGGCGGGACGGAGTGGGGTGCGGTGGTGGGTGGGCGGGACGTAGCGAGTTGGAGACATCGAGTCAAATGAACAAAGGGCGAAAAAGCAATGGAATGCGCCAAAAATGCAAGAAATTCAGGGAGTTCCGAGCACAGGCAACATAGGGGCTTGCAGAAACGAAGATAGGCAGAAAAAGCACGTTGACAAACAGGGCGATTCAGGAGAGTGAGATAAGCGGCAGGGCGTACTTTCTTTCCTGTTGGCATGCCCACGCGACTGTTCCCATCGTGCTCTTCCCTCTCCCCTGCCTCTGCAGCTTTCCTCTCCGCCCACTCCTGCAGCAGCTCCATCAGCGCCTCTGCCTGCAAGCATGTCGAAAAAGATTGTAGAAGATAAAAAGGAGATTGTATTGAGGAGGCTAGAAACGTAGTGTCTCGGCACCTCTGCAGCTTTCCTTTCCGCCCACTCCTGCAGCAGCTCCATCAGCGCCTCTGCCTGCGAACATGTTTCAGGGAGGGTGGACCGTGGAATCGTGGAACAAAATCATTTTGAGGAGCCTAGAAGCTTAGCGTCCGCCCACCTGGTACCTCTGCACGCACCCTTCCTCTCCGCCCACTCCTGCAGCAGCTCCATCCATCAGCGTCAGCGTCTGTGTGCATGATTCAGGGAGGGTGGAACAAGAGCGGAGCAGGAGGGTTATTAGGCCCCTGAGATGAGAACACACATGCAGGCATGCAGCAGACAGGACGGGCCAAACTGGCGGACTGTGAGAGTGGAAGACTGTATCTTCACAATAAAGCGAGACTTTACGAAACGAGGATGCATGGAGTGAATTGAATAAGGTTGACCAAAAAGGACGACTGGAAACTGAATCTCGGAAAGTCAAGAGGGGATGAGAAAGCAGGGTGTAGGGGCTGGTAGGAACTAAGCCCTGACCTGCATCTTGGGTGGGAAGACGGTGAAATCCTTTGGCAGTCCAGCCAGGTGCGCGAACTGCCTGAGGGTCTGCAGGCAGAAGGAGTGGAAGGTGGAAACGCGCACGTCTGCTATCGCTGCTGCTGACACCGTTTGCATAGCTGGTGCTGCTGCTGGTTCTCCTGGCGCTGCTGCTGCAGCTAATCCCGCGCCACTTGCTGCCTTGTCTAGCTGCTGCGCTGCCATCGCTCCTGCTAGCTGGTGCAGTCGCTGCCGTAGGCTCTGGCCTGCTCTTCTCGTGAACTGCAATGAAGGCAAGCAGCAAAGGAACGCGAGGAACGATGTGGGTTGCAGGAAGGTGGAAAAAGGGTGGGGGGGGGGTGGGGCCACATAGAGAGGGACAGGTGGCAAGTAGAGAATAGGGGGATGTAAGTTGGGGAAGGAACGGAGAGACTAGTCAGCAACTGGCACATGGAGGGATGTGCTTATCATAGAAGAACAACAGCCCATAGTTATGGAGTAAGTAGGCTGGTGAAACTTACTGTGACTGCTAAGATCTCGTTGGGAGGAACACCCTACAGAGATAAGAGACAGGAAGGGGGGGGGAAACCTCAATTCCCACGTAAAGAAGGATTGGAAATTACATTCTAGGGGTTGAAATTTGAGACTGAAGAAATGGTGATGCGAGAGGAAGCCAGTCAAAACGACGGGTGGAGTAAATTGCTAGAAACTACAGGAGGAAAGGCTCTAAACAGTTATGAATTCCCCAGTAGAGTTACACGGAAAAGAGGACAACGAATGAGCAATAAGTTACCTGGGAAATGAGGTGGATGATCCTGTGGCAGATGACTGACGTCTTCCCGGATCCCTGCAGGGCGATCAGCGCACACAGAGAATCACGGCACACGCAAAACAATAGCCAGGCACACGCGAAACAATAGCCAGGCACACGCGAAACAGTATCAAAGCACACACGAAACAGCTGACCTATTGGAATAATTGCAGAAAAGACATGGACGACGATAAAGTAATGCGATTCCACAAGGCATGTGGCTTCTTGAGCAAACGATCACGAGCAACACAGAGTGCGGTCTCACCAAGCAATGCGTCTGTACTATACTGTTATGTATATCTCACTCACAGCAGCAGCGACGACGAGCAGCGGGACGCTGGGATCGTGGAAAGCAGCAGCGCGCTGAGCCTCCGTCAGCAGCAGCTGCGGGGATGCCGCTGGTCTGGCGTCCCTCGCTGTTGCCATCGTCGCATTTCTCCTTGCTGTTGCCAGAGACGCCGGGTCGTTTCGCTCATTGCTGCTACTAACAATGCCAAACGCTCCCTGCGAGGCGGCTGAGCCAGCAGCACCATCAGGGTGACTCGATCCGTTCCCCATCGACCTTTCCTTCCCTCTCCGTCGGCTAGTTGGCTTAGCCTCACAATGAGACTCGTCGCCGTTGCTCGGTGCCTTGTCCGAGCATCTGCCTCGCTTACGGCTCGTCTTGCTGGGAGTCGATCCACCAGCATTTTCCGCGTCTCGTTTGCGAAGTTTGGCAGTGGCCACTCCCCGTGGTTTCTCCTGCTTAATCGTGTCATTGGGATTATTGGTCGTTGAAATGTCTCTGCCTGGCAGCTTCCGCGGTCGCTGCAGGAGGGTGAACTCGTCAACCGCGTGAAGAGTCATCTCGCTGTGATCTGCTCTGCGTCCTGTCGGTCTGGTACTAGCATGTGGCTGGCAGAAACGTCTGAGAAACCGCTCGGTTGCTGGTGTTTGAAGCAGGCCGTTTATTCCCTGACGGAAATAAATCAAGCTCGAGAAGTGAGGACCTTAGCCTAAGCTGAGCTTACCACACTATGCTTGTTTCTCGGCCAGCAACTTCCAAATCTGATAGGGTTCTCATGAGGCAAGGAGCTTCAAAGGCTAGGGAGTTATCCTGACAACCATGGATGGATCTTCAGTGAGTGCAATCCCAAGGTCTGCACCAGCTAACACTCAAAATCAGGCTGTGATTCTGTGGAGCTGGCTGAGACTGAACGAAACGTGTTCGTGACGAGTGAAACAGAACAGCCCTCATCAGTTCGTCGAGTAACATTCGCGAAGAGGGTCACTGCACTTTTGCGCCTTCCTTGGTGTCGCAAAGGTGCTTTCGGCAACGGCTGAGTTTTCACTCGCGAGAGGCCACGAAGCTGTTGATTTTGTGTCGCCTAAATGGTTACCAGCAGGCTGTCACGTCTAGGGTCTGTCAGTGAGTGTCACCTAGATTGTTTCCCTCCCCGACCTCTCTCCTTCCCCGCCTCGGCATTGCCGCGAGTTTCCCTCGGGAATATTTGTGGTGATCGGGTCGACCTGGAGATTGGGCAGCACTGGCCGCCAATCAGAACGAATAACGCAACACACACAATTCAGAACCAAAGCTCTTGCTCATGGTGTCAGTTTAGAACCACCCGCCTAGGTTTACATTCCTGTGTTAGTCTCCGACGCTATACTCGCCCACCGCACCGCTCGCGAACTTTTCTCGTCCATGGGATGCATTCCGTCCAAGTCCGAGTTCCGCAAGCTGTAGGCTGCGTGTCGAGCCATCAGAAGGTCTGTAGCTGACGTGTCAGACTCAGGAGATTCCGACGCCGACGCCTCACGCACGTGTCCCATATGGGATGCATTCCGTCCAAGCCCGAGCTCGACAAGTTGTGGGACACTTCATGAAATTTGTTGGCTGGGTTTCGAGTTGAGACGTCTCAAAATTCGAGTTCAGAAGCTCTGTCGCCGACGCGTCCCGCTCAAACGTCTAATAGGCTGGCGCCTCACGCGAAGGGTACCCGCGATCTATCATTCTCGCCCTATGGGATGCATTCAGTCCAAGCCCGACTACCACAAGCTCAGAGTCGTCTCTTAAGATCTGTACGCTGACGCGTCACGCTCGGCGTACTCGCGATCTCTCTTTTCTTTCCCTATGGGATGTATTCAGTCCAAGCCCGAGCTCCAGAGTCGGGACAATGACCGCGACGGCGATAGCCCTGCTTCGTCGAGGAAAGAGCGGCGTGGGCAGTCCAGAAGAAAGGAGCGAGCCAAGACTGTGAGCATTCACGGGAAACCGAGGAAGCGGGATCCAGCAGCGGCAGAGGCTGCAGGCAGCAGCCAAAAGGAGGAGCAGGCAGCTGCGAGTGCTTTATCAGGTGGGGTTGCAGACCCGACGCAATCCGCGCCAGGCGATGCGGGGGAGGAGAGAGACGGCAGTTTGCTGGGAAATTCTGACGAAGCCGAAGGAGCAGTTGTGGGAGCAGCTGCTGCGCCTGTTGTTGGGGACAGCTTGCCGGCGATCGCTTCACCAAGGGGGGAAGCAGCGACGGAAGGGGCAGGGAGGGAAGGCGGCTCGGAAAAGCAGGGAGACGATGCTGACGTGGATGTAGGAAATGAAGTCTCAGGTGGTGCTAACGGGGTGGATGGGGGCGGCTGGGCTGACGCGGCGGACGGGGTGCAAGACGGTGAAGAGGAGTTCATTTTCGATCCGGATGTTCTGGCGAGCTTCGAGGAGGACCTTCGGAGGGAGAGGGAGTACCAGCAGACGCTGGAGCAGCTGCTGCTGAACCTTCCCTCTGAGGTCATGGGGGCAGATGGGGACTGGAACGGGGATGGGGATGGTGGGGGTGGTGGAGGAGGAGAGGGGGGCAGAGGGGAGGGGGCTGCTGGGGTGGTAGCAGTAGCAGGGCAGGGAGGGGGGCCAGGAAAGAAGAAGAAGAAAAAGAAGAAGGGGGCGAAGGAAGGTGAGAAGGCGGCGCCGAAGAAGACCAAAAAGAAGAAGGTGGTCAAAGGGGATGGCGTGGGTGTGACTGGGGAGGCGACTTCTGTGCCGACTCAAAAGCCTAAAGGGGACGGCGTGGGGGTGACTGGAGGGACGATAACAGTGCCACGTGCAGATGGCGCAGCGCCAAGCACTGGGCGTGCTATGAGTACTGGAAACGGAGTAGCGGCAACAGACAAGGCCACAGCAGCCACAGGGTCCAACGCAGCAGCTGCAGGTGCCAACGCAGCAGGCACAGATGCCAACGCAGCAGCTGCGGGCGAGAATGCTGCCAGTGGAGTGAAGGACAGGGATGAGATGCATGCCAGCTCAGCAGGTACTGCAGCAGACAGAGGACTGGGAGGGGAACCTGCCAGGAAGGCGGGAAAGCAAGAACAGGGTGAGAAAGGGGAAGAAGAGGAAACAGAGAGGAGAGAGGAGGAGGCGGAGGAGAAGGAGGGGGAGCAGGAGGAAGAGCAGGAGGAGGGGGAGGGAGAGCAGGATGAGGAGGATGAGGAGGATGAGGGTGCTTTTCTGTTTGACCCGGATCTACTGGACGCCATGGAGGCGGCTCTAGAGCGGCACAGTGCTGCTGACTGGCAGAGGCACACCCCCCAGGCGAGCCCCATGCACGCTGCTCTGGTGGGCAGGCGAGTGAGTCCTATGCAAGCTGCCATGGTGGGCGGTAGGGTGAGTCCCATGCATGCTGCTCTGGTGGGCGGCAGAGTGAGCCCCATGGCAGCAGGCAGGGCGGCAGGCAGGGCCAGTCCGCAGCTTGCAGGGTTGCAGCCGCGGGGTGCAAGTCCCAGCCGTGGCAGCTACTACGCTGGCAAGGACAGCCCCAGGCTGCGAGGCGTGCAGAACCCGAGTGCTGCAAGACGCAGCTTTGATGGGGGCAGGGTTGATAGTGGGCGGGTGGACAGTGGCAGGGCTAGCAGGGTGGGCTCAGGGGGGGTTGAACCAGGCAGGGTTGTCTCTCCCAGGGTTGACAGTCCCCATGCTGCCAGTGGCCATTTTGCCACTGTGGTTGCTGTTGCAGGAGCACCAGCTCCAGCGGCAGCAGTATTGGCACCAGGAGCGGCGGGAGCAGTGGCAGGAGGAGGAGTGGCAGCAACGGCAGCACCAGCAGTAGCAGCAACGGCAGGAACAGCAGCAGCAGTTGCACCAGCGGTAGCAGCAACGAAAGCACCAGCAGCACCAGCTGCAGCAACAGAAGCATTTATGGCGGCAGAGTGGGCAGCTGAAATACTTGAAGTGGAGTCACCAGCAGCAGCACTGGTGCAATCAGCAGCAAAGCGATCAGCAGCAGCAGCAGCAGAGCACGTGCAAGTAAATGCATCTCAGCCAGTATCAGCAGTGCAAGCACCACCAGACACAGTGCGAGCAATGACAGGAGAAGCAGCAGAAATAGCAGCAGCCCGTGCAGGGAAGATGGCACCAGAAACTCTCACATCTGGAACTGCTGGTGCCGTTGATGCCTCTACTTGTCTCGCTGCTGCTCCTGCTGCTGCTAACGCTCCGCCTGCTCCTCCTGCTGCTCCTTCCGTTTTTTCCCTTCCCCCTCCCACGACTGCTCCTACTGTTGCTGCCACTGCGCCTGCTCCTGCTTCGACTGCAGCAGCACCAGCAGCACCAGCAGCACCAGCAGCACCAGCAGCACCAGCAGCAGAGGCGGCAAGGGGCGAGGCAGTGGAGGAGGAGAGGAGGGTGATCAAGCAAGGGCTCGTGGCCAGACTGGCCGCTCAGCTGGAAGCCGCTGCCTCTGCTGACGCTGCTGCTGCTGCCGACGCTGCAGGAGGGGTGCGCGGAAAGTGGGTGGCTGCTGTGGTAGCCTCTGCCAATGCTGCCGAAGCTGGAGGGGCCAAGCCTGATGCTGGATCAGAGGGGCAAGGGGCAAGCGCTGCAGCAGACAAGTCGGCATCAGAAGCCGCAGCAGCAGCTGGAGGAGAAGGGTGCGATGCAGCAGCAAAAGGGGAGGAGGCAGGGGCAAAGGAGGAGGAAGATACAGCAGCAAAGGTGAAGGAGGTGGTCCCCCCTGGACCCCCTCCCCCTCCTCCCCGGTCACCGCTGCTAGAAAGTTTCGACAAACGCTGCCCGCCGGGAGGGCAAGACACAGTGGTGGTGTATTCTACGACACTCCGGGCAGTGAGGAAAACTTTCGAGGACTGCGTCAAAGTGAAGAACGTCCTGCAGGTACGAGTGCCTTCTGTTCAAAGTACCTTATTTCCTTACAGTTTTATGAATGCCTGTACTGGGATTTTTCGAAGTCCTTCCTTCCCCTCCTTGGTCCCATGACTCCTTCCGACCCCAGGCTTTACGAGTGGTGTATGAAGAACGGGACATATCAATGCGCGTCTCGTACCGCCAGGAGCTCAAGACGCTTATGTCCTCCCCGGCAGGAGCAGCAGCAGCAGCGTCAGCAGCAGCAGCAGCAGCAGCAGCAGCAGCGGCCACTGTCCCCCGCCTCTTCATATGTGGGCGTTACATCGGCGACGCGGACACCATTCTCCAGATGTACGACGATTATTTCCTCGCAGAGCTCGTGCAGGGGCTGCCCACGACGGACGATGGAGGGAAGGGGGGCTGTGGGACCTGCGGGGGCAGCAAGATGGTCACGTGCCGCCAGTGCGGTGGTAACCACAAGGTGGTAACCAGCTATGGTATGAGGATCTGCTCGCATTGCGATGACACCGGGCATGTGCCGTGTCACACGTGCGAGGGGGGGTAGGCCTGGTTGCGGTAACCACCAGTCCATAACCACAAGGTGGTAACCAGTCATGGCATGCACCAGTACGCTCCCATTGCAATGATAGTGAGCATTTCAGAATGCGGCGCCACACGTGTGAATGGGAGGTAGGCCGGGGGAGAGGAAGTACTGGTGGTTTAGGTGAGGGTGTTAGAAAGGGATAGGATGACTAAGAGGGACGTTAGAGGGGTGTTAAAACTCTTTCAGGTGTCAACTTGGTTTGTGTACAGGATTGTAGTGAAGTGTTTTGGTAAGTAGGGGAAGGGGTTTAGAGGGATGTAGTGTTCAGCAGTAGTGTTGTAACAGTAGTGGGGTTTGCCTTGAACCGAGTTTGTATACTTATGGCTAGAGCCAAAAGATTGGATAGAATCACAGTACAAAGCAAACAGAGCTTTTGGCAAACCACAGAGGATTAGGAAACATTTATTTTTCACTAATAGCGAGAAAGTACATCACCTTATAACATGACAGCCATCCTAAACTCTATGCGCAAGACTCCTATGCTATGCAAATCTATTCACCCGACTTCACTGAAAGGCCAGCAGAGAGGAAAGCAAGGCAGGCTGAAAGGAGACCAGGAGAACAGGGAGGTTCAAAGAGCCACCCCTCTGCACCAAGGGATCATGGCAGCAGGAGCAGCAGGGGGCAACAGGCTGGCTGGGGGCAGCCAGCAAAACAACAGGCAGCCAGCAAAACAACAGGCAGCCAAGGGAAACAGAGCAACACAGGCAACAAAGCAAGGCAGGGAGGGGAGAGGCAGGTTGCCAGCATAGCAAGGTGGAGAGTCCTGGTTGAGTCCTCTGGTTGAGTCCCTCCGGTCCCCAAATACCTCCACCTAGAGCACTCTCGTCTGTAACCTACACTCGTGTTTCCTAACCACCGCACGACGAGAAGTCGAGCACCCAAGGAGCTATGGTGACCACCTAAGGTCGATCTATGGCTGTGGCTCCAGGACAATATGGCTCCACAGGGCATTTGTCATCCCCCATTGTTGCTCGCATAAAAGATGAGCAAGCAAGCCACCATGCATGGTTTAGCTGTTTGCTCTCATCTGTGTCCCCTCCGCTCCACTTGAGACGTCCAGGTGGGGCCTTGCAGCCCCCAACAACCCACCAGGCACAGCAGCTAGTTCTCACAGCAGCTAGAGTAACAGCAGCCAGAGTAACAGCAGCTTCAGCTCCACTCACAGCAGCTGCAGCTGCACTAAAGGCAGCTCAAATCACAGCAGCTCACTTGGCAGCTCCCCTGCTCCTGGCAGGCCAGAGCTGCCACCAGACTTGGCCGCACTCATACCACCACCACCTGCTTTGCTTGTGCTCCCACTGCTATTGCCACGATTGGCAGTCACATTGCTGACACCGTCACTGCCAGCACTGGCAGCAGCACTGCTGATGCTTGATGCTGCAAGGGGGGAAGCAGAAAAGGGACAGGGAGTCATGAGCCCACCACTTCCACCTGGTGAAAAAACCAACAGGAAAAATTTGACAGGCAGACCCAAGAAGAAAACATTCAAACGCGCAAATGTGGAACGAGAACACTTCTGAAAAAAACCAATCGAGAAAACACATTTGGGAAAGCACTGGCAGAAGCAACTCACCGGAAGGGGAGAAGCCCGCCTGCTTCATCCACAGGGACCAGCGCGCAGCTTCCAGGAAGTCGCCTGCGCGCTCAAACGCAGACACAAGGTTCTGGTAGGTGACCTGGTCAGGGAGCAGCCCCTCAGCCTGCATCTGCTGCACCATGCGCACCGACGCATACGGCATGGCGGCATCCCCATACGCGCCGATGAGGATGTTGTACGAGTACACGTCCGGGCGCAGCCCGCTGCGGCGCATGCGAGTGAGGGTGTCCTCCATCTCGGGGATCATGCCCGCCATGCCATAGGCGTGGATCACAATGTTGAAGCTGGTGGGAAAGGAGGGGAGGGAGGGGAAAGGGGCATGGGTTTTAAGCCACCTCAGGGATCATGCATGGCACAACCAACCTGCATGGCTTAGGATGGGCTTACACACCTGGTGTGGTTCGGCACAAACTCAAACGACTCCATGTTGGCCAGCAGCCCCGCCTTGCCGTATGAGTACATGCACGCATTCAGCAGCGCAACGACAGGTGCTGGTGCACTCAACCCAAGTCAGCCAACGCACCTGGTGTGGTTCGGCACAAACTCAAACGACCGGATCCGCGCCAAACACGTCTCCATATTGGCGAGCAGCCCCGCCTTGCCGTACGCATCCATGCACGCATTCAGCAGCGGCAGCGACACCATCCTTCTCGCCGCAGCGTCCCCAGCACCCCCTCCATGCGCTCCAGCTCCCTCCTCCGCCCATACGCGTGCGCCATCGTGCAATACATAAATGCGTCCTCCTCCCCCGCCACCCTCGCCTCCTCAAACAGCTCGCTGGCGTCAGCGGTGCGGCCAGCCTTGACTAGGAGCGAGAGGACAAGGTTGCGCGTGACGAGGTTGGGGCGGTAGCCGCTGCGCCGCATGGCGCGGAGAAGGCGGAGGGTCTCGTCCACTGGGAGGTCGTTGCCGCACGCATTGATCACCGTGTTGTACGCGATCTGACCGGGCGGGAAGGGGGGGGGAAGGGGGGGGGGGGGGGGGGGAAGGGAGAGAAAAGGGAGGGGGGCATTTGAAACAGTCACATGCATGATGGCTGTGCAACCTCGGTGCTTCAGGCGCCTGACATAAGGCAAAAAGAACAATTGGCCAATGCCAAGCACCGAGCCCTGAGCACATACAGTGCTTGAGGCGCCTGATATAAGGCAAAAAGCAGCATTGGCTCTGAACGCATACAGAGCAAAGGTACAACGGAATGGAACGGATGGGGAGGGCATACCTCGTCCAGGTGGCATCCGGTGCGCTCCATGGCCCTAAACGCAGCAACAGCCTCCTTGCCCCGGCCATCCTTGGAGAGCGCCTTGAGCAGCACGGTGTGCGAGCGCGTGTTTGGGTGCACACCCGCCTTGTGCATGCGATCAAACACCGACTGCGCACGGCTGGACTGGCCAGCCTTGGCGTACACATTGAGGAGAGTGTTGAAGCACACCTGCGTAGCAAGAGAGGGGAGCGGGAGCAGGCGCACGGGGGAAGGAGGAGGGGGGGGAGGGAGTGTGTGGGAGCGGGTTGAAAGCAGCAGCCGCAGTGAGGCCACCTCCTGCCGGGGTGGCCCGGTGCCTCTGGTGGTCGTGGCCGCGGTGGCGGCCCTCGCAGCTCGGCGTCGGGTGGGAGCTTTGGCGCTGTGGGTTGCCAGTACCAGCTCCAGACCGGCCCCTTCCGTGGCACTGTGTGTGGTCGTCCCAGTCACACCAGATGATTGGGGGGATCGGGGAAAGTGAGAAGAGAGGGCCAGGCAACGACTAACCGCTTCAGCGCTGTGCGCATCCGCCCACAGCCAGCACCAATGGTCGTCCATTGACCAGTGATCAGTGGTCACCACACTCGCAAAATCAACATGTTTGCCCCTTTAGGCTGTCCCTTAGGGTATCCCTTAGGATGGTCACCAGCGCTTATTACACACTCACATCCACCTCACTTTCACGCCGTTTTTAATACTCACAATGTCAACAGGCGTGCCAGCAGCTTCCGCCTCCTCGAGTGCCCTCTCCGCGCCCTTGACGTTCCCCAGCTCGCCCATCACCTCCATCGCCAGGCTCAGCGTCTGCTGCTGTGGCCTCACCCCCGCCGCCCGCATCCGCTCATACACCCGCGCTGCTTCCTGGAAGTTGCGCTGCCGCTTGCACTGCAGAATGCGGGAGAACCACGAGTACTCTGATTGGACGGGGGCCGAGGGGCTTCCCCTTTCTCCCCCTCCTCCGCCTCCGCCAGCTCCCCCACCTAGGGCCCATCCGTTTCTTCCACCATTGCCTTCCCGCCAAATCTGTCCCCCGCGCCCCTTCATCCCCCCTCCGCCCGTTCCGCCCACCCTGTTTCCTCCGCCCCCCTGCGGAGCCTGCACCTGCCATGCCCCAGTCCCCCGTGACCTTTCCCCACCCCTATCAAATCCCGCTCCCCCCGTCCCCACCCTTGTCCCTGCGCCAGCTTCTTCTGCGGATGCGTCCCCTGTCTGCGCGGACTGTAACTGGGGGGAAGGCGGGGAGGAGCGGAGGGATGACTGGGGGGAGGGCGCGGAGAGGAGGTTCCGGAGGAGAGCGGGATCAGGGCGCCACCCCAGCAGGCGCATTTCCGCCACCACTTCCGCCACAGCCGCCGCCGTCGCCGCTGCTGTTTCTGCCACCGCCGCCATCGCGGCTTCCCGCTCCGCTGCGGCTGCTTCTGCCCCGGCGCTTGCGCCTTTCAGGTCTCCCGCAGACCTGGAAAGTGCCGAGTCCGAAGGAGGGGAACCAGATGAATCAAAGCTGCTGCTGCTGGTGCTGCTGATGCTGCTATTGGAGCGGGAACAGATCTCCTCGCTACTAGCACTGCTGCTAGAGTCACTGCCGTCGTCACTCCCGCTGCTGCTTACCCCTATGCTGCCGTGGCTGCTACCACTGGTACTGCTAGTAACACAGCTGCTGCTGCTGCTGCTACTACTGCTCGTCTCTTCCACAAGTCGTCTCCCCAACTGCTGCTTTCCCCCGATTGCGCCGTTTGCGCCGCTCTGTTGTGCGGCGACGGCGGCGGCGGTGGCTTTGCGCTGCGCAACGGTGCACCCCTTCACCGCCTCCACGAACAGGCTCTGCTCCGCCTGCGCCTTGCGCGCGCGCATGTCGCGCAGCACGCGCGCCACGTCATCCAGCCGCCCCAGCCGCCCGTACATGCTGACGAGGCTCGTGTACACTGAAGGCGGCACGCGCTGCGAGGGAGACGTGCCCGATCCCGCGGCGCCACCTGCGGCGGCGGCGGAAGCGGAAGGAGACTCCATCATCTCGCGGACTAATTCCTCCACGTCATCGGCTCTTAAAGCGCGCGCGAGGGAGCCGATCAACGTTGAATAGGCCTTGCCGTCCGGCGCCACTCCCGCGACCTTCATTTCGCGGAACATTCGCAGCGCGTCGTCTAGGCGGCCGGCGCGGCCGTACAGCGACATCATCATAGTGAACGCCACGGCAGAGGGCGCCGCGGGGGCTGTGGCGGCTGTAGCGGCGGTCATTTCGGTCCAGATTCCCTCCGCTGCGACCACGTCAGCGACGCGCATGGCGGCGCCGAGTGCGGTGGTGAGCGTGTACGCGTCCACGGGCACGCCAAGTGCGCGCATCCGCTCCACCGATGAGAGCAGCTCGTGCGAGCGGCACGCGCGCTGCAGCATGGCGATCAGACACGTGAACGGCAGAGGGTCCCTGAGGGGAAGAAATGGGTAGGGAGGGGCGGAGAGGGATGCAAGGGTTATACGGAGGGTTCCTTCCGACGAGCATTGCGAGCACGGGGGAAAGGCGTCACTAGGCGAGAAAGCCGGCTGATAAACCTCGCGGTTTACCACAGCGCATGATTCACCCTTCCTCACGAACCCAACATACCTCCACCCCGCAGCCGCTACTGCATCCAGAGCCCGCGACGCGAGCCCCAAGAGGTGCCGCCCCTCGCGCTGCCAGCTGTCCTGCTCCGCCGGGCCGCCCGCCTTCTGCAGCGCCGCGAACAGACCGCGCACCGCCGCGATGCTGGGAGAAAGGGCGCCGTCAAATCCGGCGCTGGATGCGGAAGAATTGGCCGAAGTGGAGGCGGGATTTGGTGGCTCGGATAGGGAGAGGGGTGAGACCGGCTCGAACTGGGTGCCGTCGGCGACGGCCTGCTCCAGCACATCAACGGCTGTCGTTAGCTGCCCGCGACGCACAAGCTCTGCCATGACGTCATGCCACATCAGCGCGGGCTGCTGCTGACGTGGAGACGCCGCTGGCTCCGACAGGCGTGTGCGATAGTACGGCTGCGACGCTGGGCGAGAGGACATCGCGGCGGGCGACAGCGATGGCGACAGGGATGGCGACATCACGTGCGAAGGGCCGAGCGATGGGGACAGCGACGGCGACGAAGGAGGCTCAAGATGGGCTTGGTGATTCTGACGCAGCGACGACGGAAACTGATGCTGCTGGTGGTGCTGGTTCGCGTTGGATGGAGAAGGCGGGTAAACTCCACGAGACGACCAAACACCGTAAGACGGCTGCGACTGCTGCATCACTGCCTGCTGCTGCTGCTGCTGGCGATCGACGCCCCACGGCTGCCACCCCTCGGGGTCTAGACCCCCCAGCTGAAGCGGCGGGGGTTGCGGCGGCGACGCAGGCTGCTGCTGATACTGCTGCTGGTACTGTTGCTGCTGCTGCTGCTGCTGCGGGGGCCTTATCGGGCCCCATTGCCACGTGTCGTGCTCCAAGTGATAATCCACGCCATTGCCGAGCCCATAGGCAGGCACTTTCCCTGGCATACCGACGCTCATTTCCCCGACCGCCATGGCGTCGCTCTGATTTCCGCCGTCAGACCTGTTGCTTCTGCTGTTGCCCCTGCTGTTGCTGTTCAAGCCGCCACTTCTGCTACTGCTGGTGCTGGTGGTGCTGCTGCTGGTGTTGGTATTGCCGCTGCTGCTGCTGCCCTCCTGGCTGCCACCGCCGGCTTTCAAGTCATACGCGCGAGCCACTGTAGCGAGCCGAGCGCTGCTGGTCGGAGCAGCCACGGAGACGACACGTGGCGCGGAGAATCCGACAGTGAGATTGGCTAGCGTTGCCAGTGGCGCCTGATGGGTGTGGGAAGGAGGGATTTGAGGAAAGGGAGGGAAACATGTCGGATCTCACAGCCGTTCGCCAAAGAACGAGACGGGCAACTCATCAAGAAACGCGTGCCGATTACGCAGTACTCGGAAATGGTGTCCGTAAAACCCGCCTTGAATCCCGCAACTCACGCTGTTCCGAAGACCTGACGGAGCAGCCATCTTCGCGGACAAGGAAAAATAAAAGCAGTCCTCTCAGCCCTTCACACGACAGAGATAAATTAAAGGCGGAGTAAGGAGAGATATGGCCGTGAGGGCGAGGAGACACGGCTACTCCGTCTTTAGGTTTCCTCTGTCAAGTGATGGGTGTGTGACTGGGAACAACCAAGCCTCGAGATCTCCTCCTCACTGTACCTTGCTGTGGTGCCAGCAGGAGAACTTCGTTCAGGCGGTGAACCCTTGGAAGACCCTCGAGATAGTTTCCTCCGGTTTCGCAGGCCTCGAGATTGTCAGTCCTCCGTCAGCTTCTGGTAGTTCCTTGGTTCTCTTGCGATTGTGCCTGGATGTCCAAAGCTCTTCTACGATGATCTGAGGATGGATATGACTACTATCTGACGTTTGAGCGACAGGTTTGGGAGGTTCAGAATTCGAAAAGAAATGAGCCCCTTCAGGTTTGGTGGCTGGTGGATGTTGCTCCGTCAGGTTCGTTAGTGTGCGATTGCCCCTTCTGTTATCGCAGCCAAACCGCCAGCGCATTTGCGACTCATCGGATGGGGTTAGTTGGGAGACCAAGGACACTGTGATTGTGTGGCGATAATACGGTGCGTCGCAGCGCTCAGCCACTTCAGGCGGTGCGGTTTACAAGGACGACAGCGAGCCGTCTTGGGGCAATCGAGCAGTCGCAAAAGGCTTCGCATGAAATCGTACTGTACTGTTCACGTGAATGCGACAGAGGTTAGCTGGCTATGCACTCGGTCAGACACAAGGCGCAGCTAGGGGCTGGGTCGGGTAACATTTGTCGTTCCTGTGGGGTGAGGTTGTGGGGGTGGCGCATCCTGCGGGCTTCGCCACGTCAGCAAGAAACCCATTCACCATTAGCACCGCAACCGCCTCATGCGACACGATGCGAGCACATGCGAATCGCCTCACGTCTAAGCCAGCGCCGGCGACGACGACTTGTTCCAAGGTGCGAGTGGCGAGTGGGATAGTAAGACTAGCAGTACTATTGAAAGGAGGCGCACAACTCCAGACTTGTGCTGAAAGGGATGCATAATAGAGACTATGAAACAATTACCACTTATAGGTACACTATAGAACAAGTTGTATAAGAGGGTGAAATGTACAAGGGCAATGTTAATTGTGCAACTTAAGCATCACTGAAAGTAACACATGGCGCATATAACAACCTCCTGCGTGTTATATCCCCTTTTGGATGTGTGCCTGCATCGAATTGTGAAGGGCAATGGTCGTTGACCGTTGACTATCAACTCATTGTTCAGACTGTCAAACATGTTTAGTTATCATGCTTGTATAGACTGTATAGGGTCATCTTCTAGAGAGTACAACTGTTAGGTATATGTTTGTGTACTCTCTCTCTCTATTCATCAATTTCACTGTTTGATATGGTATCAGAGTCGGTCGTCCCGGTCGACGAGTCTTCTGACTCTGGTAGTCCTCCGGCGCAGTCCTCGCCGTCTGTCCCTCCCCCGGTGTCTCCTCCTCCACCGCCTCCGCAGCCGCCGTCGCCGCAGCTGCTGCAGCCGTCGTCTCCACCGCCGCCGCCGTTGCAGCCGTCGTCTCCGCCGCCGCCGCCGTCGCAGCCGTCGCTGCAGCCGCCGCCGCCGCCGCCGCCGCTGTCGTCGCTGCCGCCGTTTGTGGACTCTGGGGGTGTCCCTTCTGGGGGTGCAGGTGTGGAGGGTTCGGGAGGTAGCCGTCGCGCAGCTTGTGGCCCTGGTGTTGGTGTTGTGTCGCCGCAGCAGCAGTCCCCGCCTGTGTCCGCCCTCCGTCTGCTCGGCCTTCCGTCTCCTGACCCTGCGCCTGTTCCTCTCCTGCCGTCTCCCCCTCTTCCCGTCTACGGCCCCGTGTTCCCTCTGCCAGACTCGTCCCCGGCTCGTCTTCCCCCTCGTTCCCCTCCTGTGTCCCCTCCTCTGTCTCCTGACCCGACGCCGCCCTCACACGTCTGGTCTCGCCGCCCCTCTCGTGCTCGTCCTGTCTCCCCTGTCCCGCGCTCTCACCCTATGTTGCTCCGTTCCCACGCGTCTCGACCTTCCCTCCTCCCGTCTCCTCCTCCGTCTTCTCTTGTCGTTGCGTCTCCTCCTCTGTCCGACTCCTTTCGTGCCGCTCGTCCTCTTGTTCCTCGGGTCCTTGCCTCTCTCGTTACCGACCCGTCTGTTCCCGTGTCGAGTCTTGACGCCCTCGTCGCTGCGGTCGCTGACTTCGCCTCTACCCGCCGCCTTGACTACGCCACCGCTCTGGTCTCTCACCCTGCCTGTCCTCCGTCTGTCGGGGGTGCTCCTGCCCTCGGCAGTGACGTCCTGGAGGACCGCCAGTTTGAGCTTGCTTTCCTGTCCGAGGCTGCTCCCCATCTCTGTTCCATGCTGCTAGTCCCTGAGGGTGACCCAGACGCTTTCGACATCCCGACCCCTCGTACTTACGCTGAGGCGGTTTCGGGACCCTGGGCCTCTCAGTGGATAGCTGCCATGGAGCAGGAGATGGCATCTTGGAGATCCACCGGCACCTTCGTCGACGCAGTTCCCCCACCTGGGGTGAACGTGGTCGATGGCCGTTGGCTCTTCAAGGTGAAGCGCCCTCCTGGAGAGCCGCCTGTCTTCAAGGCGCGCTACGTGGCTAGAGGCTTCAGTCAGCGCGAGGGGGTGGACTTCTTTCAGACTTTCGCTCCTACCCCGAAGATGACTACTCTTCGGGTGCTGCTACACGTAGCGGCTCAGCGTGACTACGAGCTTCACTCCCTCGACTTCTCCACTGCCTTTCTTCAGGGCAGCCTTCACGAGCAGGTCTACCTGCGTCGCCCTCAGGGCTTTACTGGCACCTTCCCCCCTGGGACCCAGTGGCTTCTGCGGCGGCCAGTCTACGGCCTGCGCCAGGCGCCTCGTGAGTGGCACGACACTTTGCGTGCTACCCTTGCTGACCTGCAGTTCTTTCCGTCCTCTGCAGACCCCTCGCTCTTCGTTCGTGCTGGCTCGACTCCGTTCTACATCCTCGTCTACGTAGACGACCTGGTCTTTGCCACTGCTGACAGGGACGCACTGGCCTCCGTGAAGGCAGAGCTGCTGAAGAGACACACCTGCACTGACCTTGGAGAGCTGCGCCGTTACCTTGGCTTGCAGATCTCCAGGGACAGAGCCGCGCGCACCATCACCCTGACTCAGTCACACTTGGTGCGCCAGGTCCTTCAGAGGTTCGGCCTTCAGTTCTCCTCCGCACAGCCCACCCCTCTTCCTCTGGACCACAGACTCTCCGCTCCAGTTCCTGAGGAGTCGGTAGATCCCAGTGGTCCTTACGCTGAGCTAGTGGGTTGCCTCATGTACCTGATGACTTGCACTCGCCCAGATCTCGCATACCCTCTCAGCATCCTGGCTCGTTTCGTGGCCACAGGCAGACACCGACCTCAGCACTGGTCTGCCGCTAAGAGGGTTTTGCGTTATCTTGCAAGTACATCGGGCATGGGGTTAGTGCTAGGCGGACGCAGGCCAGTGGTCCTTACTGGACACACAGACGCTTCTTGGGCAGACGACGCCGAGACGCTCAGGTCTTCCCAGGGCTACTGCTTTAGCCTTGGCTCAGGTGCTGTCTCGTGGAGAGCTACCCGCTCCTCGTCTGTTGCCCAGTCCAGCTGTGAGGCTGAGATCTACGCCGGTGCCATGGCGGCACAGGAGCTCCGCTGGCTGACCTTCTTGCTCACTGACTTAGGTGAGCGGCCTAGCTCTGCCCCGGTCCTGTACGCTGACAACAGGGCCATGATCCTCCTGTGTCAGGAGCCTCGACTCGAGGGCAGAGCGAAGCACATCCAGCTGCGGTACTTCCTCCTGCGTGAGCTACAGCAGCGTCGCCAGGCTCGCGTAGTACACTTAGCCTCCGGTGCCAACACAGCTGATATCTTTACGAAGGCGCTTGCGCCTAAAGATCATCAGCGGCACTGTGTACAGCTTGGTCTGGTTCCTGTAGTCTCTCACTTACTCGGGCCTTGACTTTGTACTGCCCTATATATATCTGTGTGTACACTCAGACTGGACTTGTGTCCTCTTACAGTGGTTGGACTAGTAGTGCCGCCCTGTACTAGTTCTTGCCTTGCCTGTACTCCTTCTGACTGGTCTTTTAGACCCTTGTCTCAGAGGCTGGACTAGTAGTGCCACCCTGAGCTGCTTGTCTAGAACATTCCCCTATGCAGTCCAGGGGGTGTGTCAAACATGTTTAGTTATCATGCTTGTATAGACTGTATAGGGTCATCTTCTAGAGAGTACAACTGTTAGGTATATGTTTGTGTACTCTCTCTCTCTATTCATCAATTTCACTGTTTGATACAGACGACCAAGAGTAGGGCCTACTTTTGGATTTTTACTACTCTAAAATCAGGGAGTGGCTTTTTTCATTACTCTGAAAATCAGAGTGCTCCCCAATGGTTTCTCTAATTTTCAAGGGTTTTTATTTCTTAAAAAAAATACACTCACAATGCAGAGGGGTTTTTCAAGTAACTCTCTGCAACGGGGTCATCTGTACGCACAGGGCAAGATCGGGAGATGGGGGGGGAATGAAGAGGAAGGATTGAGAGATTGCAGGGGTGGAGGGAATCGAGCTGGCAGGGAAGGTCGATACAGCAGGGGCGGGGAAGGGGAATCTTGCACTCCCCTCCCCCTACGAGCACACGTTGGCCCTAAATCTGGTGAAGGGCCCAAAACTCCCTCACGCAGCAAACAATGCATCTCGCGCGAGCCCTAGATTTGGTGAACGACCACTCAATTGTCGTGGCACTGGGATAACCCTGTCGATCCTCTCTCTATCTCTAGGGAGGGTACTGGGGAGGCTTTCCTCGGGGAAGGTGGATACATGGAGCCTAACCCTCCTGATGACATCCCTTTTTGTCCCAATGGTTAGTGTCGTGAAGGTAGGATAACTAGGACGCCATGACTATGGCGGCGGGGTTTAGCTAGGAGGTAGGAGAGAGGAATGTCGAGAGAGAAGAGGATTTGAACTAGAAGAGAATCAGATACAAGAAGGGGAGTTATCCCCTCTACAGTAGGATGCAGTAGGACAACTATCAAGCCTACAATTATAATTTGAACACACCCCCTAGGCTTGGTAGTGGCAAGCCCACTCAACCCACACACACACCCCCTAACCACGAACACCCTCATTCTCGTGAGCAGCTAGGTATCGGCCGCATCTGGGCGGCCTCAATGACGACAGCGGCGGAGCTCGTGCTCAAGGCGGCTGCGTCGAGGAGGACAGGCGGCGACTGCGGCGGCTGAGGGCTCTCGGCGGTGTGGCACGGGCTGGCGGCGACCGAGCCGAAGACAGCAGCTACGGCACGAGGAAGAGGAGATGCAAGGAGAAGGGATGGGGCGGGGAGGAGGGGCGAATGGCAGCATGTGGGCGGCGGCAGCGTCGCACGGTCAGCTGCAGCCCGACGGCGCCGTCCAAGAGCGGCGTCGACGCTGTAGC